CGTTGGTGTGTGTACTCATGGTAGTGTGTGTACAGTATGTGTTAAATTTATGGTGTGCTTATTTCCCAACAATCAGTGTTATGTCAACGATAAATTCCTCAAAAATAAACACATACAAAAATTGAGGAAGGTTCGGCATTATATCTCCTCGGCATATTTTTTTTTACATCTTTAAAGGTCACACACACACACACACACACACAGTCAGGAGCCACAGCCAGTGAAGGCCGATACTGACGCAATGCAACATCGCCAGCCACGATAGTTCCAATACCACCTAGCAACGTTTAGACGGGGGAGGGGTGTTTGTCCGATCACCAAGCCTTCACTTGCCGTGGTTCCGGCTATTGGGGGAGGGAGGTAAAACAATTACAGCATCTGACTGTATACGTCCGATGCTTCCAAACACTGTCCAGCGCCCATCATATACTCTAGGCAAGTGGCATTTACTATGATGTTCTGTGTACCACCATAACCTATTTTTACACCACCACCTACTGTTTTACACCACCACCTACTGTTTTACACTACCACCTCCTGTTTTACACCACCACCTACTGTTTTAATAATTACCACCTACTGTTTTACACTATCACCTACTGTTTTTAACCACTACCTACTGTTTTACACCACCACCTACTGTTTTACACTACCACTACTGTTTTACAATTAATTACCTACTGTTTTACACCACTACCTACTGTTTTACAATTAATTACCTACTGTTTTACACCACCACCTACTGTTTTACACCACCACCTACTGTTTTACACCACCACCTACTGTTTTACACTACCACCTACTGTTTTACACCATCACCTACTGTTTTACACCACTACCTACTGTTTTACACCATCACCTACTGTTTTACACCACCACCTACTGTTTTACACCACCACCACCTACTGTTTTACACCACCACGACCTACTGTTTTACACCACCACCATGACCTACTGTTTTACACCACCACCAACTGTTATACACCAAACACGATCACCAAATTGTGTTTACATTACCCAACCAATAAGAACACACGTCATATAGAAGTCTGTGGGCCTGTCTTTGTATTGATAGACTTGTTCATGATCGTAAGTAACGAAAGTCCAGGTGTTGGCGTGAACCAGTAGTGTGTTGCTGAGTGACAAAACGCGGACGTGAACGGCAGTGCGTCGTAGTGGTGTATTGATCCTGGTAGACCTGTCCTGTTGGGGGGCGACCACCTCAACCACACGCTGTAGTACCATCCACTCCCCCACCTAACACTGTAGCTGCAGTGTAGCTCAAACAACTCCCCATTCCCCTCTCTATTCCACCTCATTACCACCCATTCTCTCCTCCCCATCTTCCACCACATAATGTAACACCACCCATTTTCCCTCCCTCCCTATTCCACCACACTGCAGCCCTTCCCACTACTACCACACACTCTCCCTACACCCTACACACTCCCCTTATCACCCCACACACAATAACACACTTCCCTTATCACCCCACACTCTCCCTTATCACCCCCACACAATAACACACCCCTTATCACCCCACACACACACACACTCCCCATCACCCCACACAATAACACTTTATCACCCCCACACAATAACACACCCCCTTATCACCCCACACACACAACACACTCTTATCACCCCACACACACAACACACTCCCTTATCACCCCACACACACAACACACCCCTTATCACCCCACACACACACACACCCCCACCCCACACTCCCCTTATCACCCCCACACACAACACACCCCTTATCACCCCACACACACACACCCCTTATCACCCCACACACACAACACACCCCTTATCACCCCCACACAATAACACACTCCCCTTATCACCCCACACACAATAACACACTCCCCTTATCACCCCACACACAATAACACACTCCCCTTATCACCCCACACACAATAACACTCTCCCCTTATCACCCCACACTATAACACCATCCACTCTACATAATGGTGTCTCAGGACTAGCGGGATTTTGTCTGGGACAATATTCTCACCAAAGAACAAAAGCACCAATCCTGATCATCGTTTACGGCCCCTTTTCCAACTCTAGCGTGGGTAACGATAATAAAACCTGGCAGCCACAACAAAAAACAATGCCCCATTTCTCTCACATACTCTAAGTTGGATAGAAATTACCCAGCAGCAGTTATGTTTTTGATTTCAGTGACCTGGTAAATTAAAGCTACCACAAAATTGCGTCAGTGTCGATGGTTATTAATTCTCGCCAGTCTTTACTGTCTGGGAACGTCTGATGCACTATATCTTGTTGGGGATCCACACTCTTTCACTAAATATATATATTTTTTCCTGAAAGCATCAGTGTATTTTCATCTTTGTTTCCAAATTAGTGAACAGTACTCTTCTTTCCGTCTGTTGTTTCAGGCACGGAAATTCATTGCTCTTGCTTTTAGTTCTAGAATCATTTTCCTATTAGTATTTACCAGTCAAATTTCCAAGTTTCTACTGTATATATATATATATATATATATATATATATATATATATATATATATATATATATATATATATATATATATATATATATATATATATATATATATATATATATATATATATATATATATATATATATATATATATATATATATATATATATATATATATATATATATATATATATATATATATATACTTTTAAGCCCACACGCGTTTAAAAAAAAAATCTAATCCACGCCTAACATGACCAGTATTGACAACACAATACACCACACAATTGTCTCGTCCCGACATTAAACGTATAAAACTGTCACACACTTGAGTGTAATTTGTGGACATAAAAAATTCAATTGTTGAACTACGTTTAACCGAAGGAGAATTTGGAAAAAAAATCTTACAAGTCAGGTTTTCATCGATAACAAAGTTTGCTTTTTCTAGAGTAATGTAGTGTAACCCTTCAGTAACACAAATCCCTGATATCCACGCCAAGGATGTGATAACGATGACTTCAAGGGTACAAGTTTTTTTTCTACTATGTAGATACGTATAAATAAAATAGGAATATTTGTAATTGTAAAAAAGCATGATAGTAATTCCAACCACGATAAGTAAATGTCAAAAAAGTATAAATATAAATCCAACTCTCGCTTACCACCAGATACGTTTAGAACTCGCATTATCAAAACATGTTCTGCTCAGTAGTCATAACAGTTAACAACCTGCAAGATTAGTTTCAACTAACTAAAATGATGGCATCAAATTTCTAAGTTCAACATCGGTCAACAATGACTTGAATATATCACCATGGTGATATATGCGAGTATATTCACAAGCCTGCCGCCCTCACTGCATATGGAAGAATCACACAGTACAGTATATAAGAAAATTCATACAGCATGCCAATTAAATGTCGATTTTGTGGAGCAAAAATACATGGAGGATAGCTTTTATCTTGATTTTAATTTAGTGAGAATAATTTCGTTTCAAGTTTCTTTGCCTACCATATGGTGTAGGTGTGTTGATCTACAATATTCTACATTAACACACCTACACCATCTACTACTGTCACTTCAGCTGCAGTATCCCTCCCTACCCCGCCAACCTTTCTTCATCAGTCTGCCTATACTTGACTCTGCTCCCTCACCTCAGCCCTACCTCAACCAATCATCAGCCCCGTCATGGCTACCTCAAGGCCTGGGAAAACGGCAAACGGCCCGTGACGTGAGGCCCAGCTGAGTACAGGTGCACCCACACTGAGTGCAGCCGCACCTGGGTCGATACATGACGCGTTCCACACATCCTTGCCTTCCCTCTCCAACAACACTAACATACATATAATATTTATCACTTAAGCCACACCATGCGTAATTCTATTCAAAATTCATATACTTTATCAACTATATCTATACTCCCGTGAAAATATGCGGTGACAATTACTTTTAACTTTTCACTGGTACAAAATATACAATACATGAATTATCAATTGTTACTAATAACGGCTGGCTCGCCAGCTTTACTGGATTACAGTGCAATATTTGGAACTTACTGTACATCCGATCTTTGTCATAGTAAAATTTATCCTCATCGCGATATTAATGTTATGTGTATACAGTACGTATTACTGCGTTCCTTTAACCTCCTCTCCACCGATTGGCCTTTAAAGCGCGTATTCTTAATACCCAAATACACAGGTCAACAATAAAAAAAAATACGAAATATATATTTTATTTAACTTGTGAAGTTTTCACTTTTATTTCCCTAAATGCAGACGATGGATTCCAGGATTATTATTAATTTATCATTTGTAGTTTTATGAAGAATTATTTTCCGTAATTTTAATAGTTGCTGTTAAGTGTATGGACCTACTCTGATTAAGTGCTTGAAGACCTAAATTTCTGAAGCATGAACTATAAAAAAAATAATAAATAAAAAAACAGTGTAAATGTCTCGGCTTCAAGGAGTGATGAAGGTGAACCACGTGTTCTTGGGTAGGCTGGGGCTAATACTTGAGGATAGCAGAGTCGTATATATCTACCTACCAAACTTAATCTACCTAAACTTGAGCTTAACCTAAAAATCATTATATTATTAAGGATAGGTAGTGCACAGGAAAATCCCGAGAAATCAACCTTAGCTGGCACAAAATGTCACTGTTTTGTGAGAAGTGTAAAACTTCCCAGGGAATAGCTCTGAAGGCACTCCTAGCCAGGGGGAGCTTAAAAGTAAGCCCTATCTGCACTCTTCCCAATGCTGCACAGCACATGCAGCTAATGTCCCTAAGGCCCATTACCTCATGCCTTAAAACTCCTAGGTAAGGTGAGAAGTTATAATGTATGGGAAGTTAGTAAGAGGCTGGTGATGGGTGAAGTGATATTGTTGTCTAGGACAGAAGAGGAAAAAGGTAATGTCATAAGATTCACAATAGATGTGCTGTATCAACATTTAACTTAATATATGTACAGTACTGTACTATTAAGTTTTAACAATAATATACTAGCATGTTACAGTACTTACCTCAGCCCAAAAGCAGACGATGAGGGAGCCAGCACTGAGGATGATGGGGTAGAAAGCACTCATAAAGGATGGTGCCAGCATCAGGTCAGCATTTGACTATGAACAAAAAAGTCAAACAAGTACTTGTATTACTATTAAGAAATTTTATAAAAATCTCTATAAATGTTACAGAATAATAAAATGTATGTTTTTTTTTTTAAATAAATTAGTTCCAATGGTATGACAGATCAACAATAACTTTAATACAGTACAATAATATACAACTAAAAATCCTAAGTTTTATTTGAATTTTTTAAAGAGAGATTATGAAACATCAACAAAGATTCCTGAGGGGATGACTCCTCACTTTCAATATGATGTTAAAGATGCAGACCCCAACTCTAAACAAAAATCAATAGATTAGGTAATTTTTCTTAAGTGAAATTTTCCAAAATAATGATTCTTTCCCTGTTTGAAATTAATGATCACCTGTCTTAATAATGGAAACCTAAGCAGTATCTAAGATACATAAACTAATAATTCTTAATACTTACAGGAGAGGAAAAGTAGACTCCTCTGAGGGTGGCAGCAACAAAGGTTATTACATATAGCATCTTCTGTGTGGTGACTCGACATGCCCGCCTAAGGGACGGTGTCTTTTGTTTCATATACTCTGCCCGAATACACACCACCAGCTGGGCCAAACTGACTGCTGCTATGAGGTAAAATACAGTGGCAAAACTGATAAAGTATGCAAGGTTGGGATCCCTGCAAGTATCTCCCTCATACTGAACCTGTAAACAGAAATACTGCACTGTACATTACAGTAAATATGAAAAAGTGTAAATTATTTCATAAAATTAATTACCTTCAAGAGAAGAAAATACTTTTATCAACATCTTACACACCTACAGTATGTAATATTATTATTTTATGTTTCAAATCAATATACCTGAACATACCAGACAAAAGCAGGTACCGTTGAGGCACTCGCCACGACCAGAACAGTTGGCCTGACAAGAATTTGTGTAGTTGGTCATTCTGTCGTAGATACTTTTAAGGGAAGAATACAGTGTTTCACTCAACGTTCCACTTGCCACAAAAGAGAGATGATCAGTGGCTGCTGTGGTGGGGTGCAGTGTAGTGTGTGATGTGGTGTGAGGAGCAGCGACAGTGGGCGCTGGGGGGCCATATTCAAGAGCATTTTGAGTTGCCCCTCCTGCACCCAGTATCCTGCCCACACTCCCGCCTACCATTCCGGTAAACAGATGTGTACTACAACCCTCATCTGGAGAAGAACAAACAAACATAATTCTGATTAACATTTAATCTTCATACAATAAATGACATTTCCCAAAAAAGTTTCCTTTAACATGAGAGTTATTCATAAAAAATTAAACAAACAGAGATCATTTTACTGATACAGTACTGTACTGTACAATATACCAATTTTAATTATAGGAGAGGTATAATGTACAGTAGTATATTCAGAACAGGTACAGTATATGTTCCCCAAAACACCATCTACAAAGAAAGTTATTCACCAATGCAGTCATCTCCAATCCCAAAGGTACTACAACACTACCAACCACTACCTGTACAGTACTATAAGCACAACAATAAGGAGACACTGCAACCTTCAGATATGGTACTTAAGCACACTGGCTCCCAGGCAAATAAAATTGATGATACAGTAACATATCATCTAACCTCTTCACTATGGGACACCACTTTCTAATATTTTATTTGGCTAGCACCAGACGATTTATTAAGCACAGAGACTCCAATACACAACATACCCATTGACTGGCTACATCTCCAACAGGAAGATACTGCTACAACATACCCATTAACTGGCTACATCTCCAACAAGAAAATACTGCTGTAACATACCCATTAACTGGCTACATCTTCAATAGGGAAATACTGCTACAACACACCCACTAACTGGCTACATCTCCAACAAGAAAATAATGCTGCAACACACCCATTAACTGTCTACATCTCCAACAAGAAAATACTGCTGTAACATACCCATTAACTGGCTACATCTCCAACAGGAAGATATTGCTGCCATATACAGTACTCATCAACTGACTACAAACAACAAAGAGAGATACTGTACTGTTACAAACAACAGATTAATATGTTACAAAGTAACCAAACTAATAAAAGTAGTGTAAACTGTATTATATTGTACTGTAAACACCATCTAAAACTATTATTCAACTTATTTGTGCTAAAACAAGCATAATATCAATTACCGTAGCTCTCAACCTTTTAGGGAGAGAATATTTATATATACTGTACTGTACTACAGTATAGTACAGTAGTTCCTGTACAACCAATCACCACATTCCCTGATACTCTAGATGATATTAATTTACCTAAATCAACTAAAAAAGACATGTGAAAAACAGTTCCATCACTCACACCATGTCATAACTACAGTTGAGTATTAAGATAAATAAATGTATCATACTTATACATTACGGTACATGTACTGTACTCCTTAACCAAATATAAACCAAGCAACCATCAAATACTGTACTGTAAAACTATCTAACACCAACCAAGTAAAGAATAGTACTACCAAGACCAACCAAGGATGACCCAGCAAGTGGCCGTGAGCTACAAGAGGGACAGGATATAACTGATCAGCCTTACACAATGACCACCCTTGTGGGTTACTGCTCCCAGGTCTTCTCCTCAGAGGGGAAATCATCCACACATCCTGAAACATGATCATGTACAACTGCATTAACTCAAGTCTACAGTGTCAACAACACCCAAGATAAAAAAAAGGAAGTCACAGCTTACAAAATATGCATATGGTAGTGTATTAGCTACTTCAGAGTGAGTGTGTACATGTGAATAGGGATACAGTACTATTCTGAATTTTGCACAGTAGTACAGGTACAAGACAGCTTTTTCTCATCCAATTTCAAAGATATATATCTGAAATTGCATTACCAAGAATGAATATGATTCCTTTCCTACCCCTGTACAGTACAGTACATCAAATATCAAACTAAGAACTAAAATCTTGGGTCAAACCTTAGCTATAACATGAAGCAACAACTGGAAGGTGATAGGAAACAAATTGTTGCAGGCTACCATAGGTTGTGCCAAGGAATATGGAACTAAGAAGTACTCAATGTTAAACTTTTTATCCCCCTGCGATGGTTGTGTCGCCAAGAGCCGCAGCGTATAAAACACATTAAGCCCATTGTGCCTTGCATGATATTGTGAGATAACACCAGATTATTCAACACAAATAATTTACATACGGTATAATCAGTAGATAATTGACATCCAACTTAGATTATCTAGGAAAAATTTCTCAAAGCAACACACTATATAATTTGCAGTAAAAGACAATTACAGTACAGTATTTGCCTACTTAAGGGACCATAGCTTTTGTATAGTGAGAAAGAGGTTTAAGAATAAAATACTTGTGTCAGCATATATTCACATAGCGAACGTTCGTGTAACTTGGGATAACACTAACTGGAAAAAATATGAATTTTGAGACGAAAGCTTATATGTTCTTTTTTTTTATGCTCTATCTCTCTATATAAAAATCTACATAGATTTCAAGAGCTGTACTAACGGTTTGATTTATATGAAAAAATATATATATATTTATACAGTACAGTATACTGTACTGTATTTGCAAGACAAAGGTAAGTTAAGGTTAGGTAAAGTTAGGTTACATAGGTAAAGATTGGTTAGGTAAAGCAAGAGATTACTCACACCTGCTGTCTGCTCATTTTCATTTATTATCGGCATAGCTTACATCAAAGCTCTGGATTTACTTCATTTCCAGAGATAAATTAGCAGATTCAAATTTGCCCCATGCAGCATAAGAATGAGTTTATTGGGTACCCCCTTACATCTTGTGTAAGGCAAAGAGCAAAAGTATTCAAGTGCCAAACAGGGAAGCATGCAGAGTTCTTATTTGCAATCTTGGACTTAGATGATGATTAGGTAAGAGTGTTGTTGGAATTTACACAAGATGAAATAAGCTGCATAACATCCATCTGGCCGTTATTCTCACACATCTTGCATTCTCACATCAAAGAAGACAGTTGGTGTCTCAATACAGCACCTTCTTCGAACTTCTAATTCCTAGCAGAAATCTGCACCTCTCTGGTCTGGGAGGACTGTGAAACATTGCAATTGCTTGGAGCATCTGTTTACTGGAGCATCTGATGATACACATGGTACTGTGACCTAACAATGAGCCACCATGAGCCTACACAAATCCTCAGATATAGCATAGTATTAGAGTTCCTATATTTTATGATATACTATACAAATAGGACGATTATTTTTCTTCTGAGATATTAGCATGTGAGTAACCTATGTTAACAGCTGGAAATAATTTCCCAAAATGATATTGCTGCTGTTTTTCATTATGGAGGCTGCAGTGCCTTTTATAACTGGCAAAACAATCCAATAATGTACTGTATCATATTTTCTTCACCACAAATCGACCTGTTAGCCACTTAGGTGGTCAGTCATGTCTGTTATGTACTGTTGGCAAATACTGAGCACACAATGAAAAAGTTCTAGGCATTGTGATAGATCAGTCACTGAAGGCAGGGCAGCAAGTGGGAACAAGAGTATACTGTATATAAAAAAAATATATATATATATATATATATTTGAGGCATTATAAAGCATAGTTCCCTTCGAATACAAAGATAGGAAAATGCGCCTTCAACTTTATAAATCTCACATACATCCCAATCTGGATTACGGTATACAGGCATGGAAACCCTACCAACAGAAAGGCCTAGCACCCCTTGAAAAGGTGCAACACAGAGCAGCTAAGATAATCCAAATAGACTGAGGGCAGTAGGACTAATAACTCCTCAGACAAGACACAAAAGAGCAGATCTCAAAAAGGCATTCAAAACCTTGAAAGGGATGAAAAATGTGATGTCGCACACCATCAACACAAGGAGCCATAACATGTAGAATGAACACGGGGAAAAAAATTTGCTCTAGATGTATGAAACAGTCTACCAGCTCAAGCTGGGAATCGAGAACAGTACAGTAATGGGCTTTAAAATAGCCCAAGACAAAACTATCAATAACAATGGGGGGTACTACCACATGGGTCCAACGAATTACCCAAAAGTACCAAAAAGTATATTAAATCAGGGTAAAATCTTAACGAATATCTGTTATACATACACAAAACATGTCTAATAATATTTTTAGTGTAATTTTGTAAAAATAATTTGTAAGATGAAATAATAAACAGCAAAAAACTTTCAGTATTGGCGAAAGCTAAATTCCAAAGAGTTCGTGAACAAGGGAGATAACTCAGATCCATCGTGATGCACTTTGCTAACCTAACCTACCGAAAAGTAAATCCTACGGCTATGTTAAATATCCCAAAGTAACAGAAACATCGGTCATTAAATCTCCATTTTGGATAGGCGACTCTTTGGAATTTAGCATTTTTCGCTGTTTATTATTTCATTAATTTGACTACATTTCAATGAAAACATTATTAATCAGGTTTTAATGATGTAAAACATATATTCGTTAAGATTTTACCCTGATTTAAAATACTTTTGGGTACTTTTGGGTAATTCGTTGGACCGCTACCACAGACCACTGGCTTCCTTCCCATGGCAAAACTGTCTTTAGTGGGTGGCCATTAATTAAATAAATAAAAATGAACCAAAACATACGTCAGTGTTGGTCAAGTTTGTCCTAAAATAAGCTCAAATTAGGTGTTGCCACAACACTAGCAGATTATTCCAAGAGTTCACAACTCTTATACCACACAAGTTCTCTCTGATAACTGATAATTTTCTGAACTAGTGGCTTCTTTACCTTGAGGCTGTGACTTTTAGTAGGACAGGCAGCTACTCACTCCAAATATGAACACTTGACTGAGTATTGTATACAGTAACCTCCCTCTTGGTACGAGAGGTCCCTAAGTGCAGAAATCAGTCTGGTGGCTCACCTTTGGATAATCTCAAGCATTTGGCAGTGTTTACTATTGTACCATATATCTTGGGGCCAAACAGAATGACAGTACTCCAATGTGGAAGAGTTCATGAGGGATGGACTATCTATCGTTGGATACAGTATGTGTCGGATCTTCCTTGAAAGCCTACCGAATTATTTGCCTGATTACCTTTTTCTCACAATGATCCAAGAACTTCAGTTCGCTGTCAACTTAAACACCCAGGCCGTTCCCCCATATGGTTTCATTAATGGTGCTTCCTCATCCCACTGTAACATGTGATATGCCTTTTCAAAGCCCACATATATAGATATTCATTTGGTAAAATTGCTATATTAGTTATGATTCATCGTGTGAATAGACAATATATATACCCCTGTACAAACACAGGTAAACAGTTTGAACAGGTAGACCTATGGAACGGTCTACCTGCTCAAGCTGTGGAAACAAGAACAGTACTGGGCTTCAAAAGGTCCCTAACAAACCTATCGAGAGCAATGGAAGGATCCTACATAGGCCCCTGGCCTCCTTCCCTCGGCATGGCCACCTCTTAGTGGGTGGCCATTAGGTAAATAAGGTAATTAAATGATCGACCTCTGTGAACAACGTTTATGTGTGAAAACACAATATATGGGTTAATATGTACATCGATGTTGCTCTATATAATTACCAAATTGACTTAAAATGTAATAGGAACAACTTCAGTTATATGTAAGTAACAAGCTTCTACTGAGCCTATACGACCTGTGACTGACCTGTCGAAATCAGCTGAGTGACCCTCCAGCAGACGACAATAGTTTATATCCGACGTCGGTGGTTCACTTGTAGTAGTTCAGGTCGACGACGAAGATCTTGTCTTGGTTTTCACAAGTCCATTAAAATAACTTCAAATGTATGACTTTCAGGGATGCAGCAGTCAGAGCTTCATAAACTACAAGTATTGCATTACGACCACTTACTACACACCCTAACACACTCACAGCAGAACAGTGACTGAGGACATAAACGTGATGTTAACGCCAGTACGCCACACCATTGACAACGTCTGGCGCAAAGTGTTGCCAAGTCAGGCTTAATAGCGCCAGAACAAGGAGTGATATTGGACAGATATTTTGTCTCTGGGTATGTACTGTATACTGGCTCCAGAATGTATCTGTACCTGCGCCAGCGATGGTCAAGTCTTGAATGAGTTTACACTCGATAGTCGGTGCTGTCACAACGCTTCCTGGCATATTCGAAGTTTACAATTCTCACTTCGAAAAAGTTTGCCTGGATTTTCTTAACTTGTGGACCACCAGTGTGGCTGGCATCCGCCAGCTCCAGATGGGAACACCCGACTGAGTAATGTCCTCTGAGATGATTATAAACTTCAATTAAGTCTACCCTGATCCGCCTATAGTATAAGCTAGGCAACTGCAGGCGTTCTAATCTCTTTAGGTAACTGATCGAGGTGCTGTAGCATATATAATTTTATAAATTAATGAAAAAAGCAGAATTGTTAATCACATCTCTCTTTACTGGTTTTGTTAACAGACACATTCAAACATCATAAACTGTTTGTTGACCCGACCGATCAAGCGTTGTCCTCAATTGTCTAGTTTGTGTTGGTGAATAATAATAATAATAATATGTAGGGTTCCATTTTTAGAAGAATACACAAGTCCAGTTATTGTTTGTCTTTCTTTCGTACAATGGCCTTAGAAAATATTCCCTTTGATGCTTAAGTAGCTTTCTGTTTTTCCAACTATATTATATAGCAGTTTCATTCTCGTGGGTTTTACATTTTTTATGCAATAGAGTGCTCAATTTCAAACGAGCTCTGGGTAAATGTGATTGGAATTATTTTTTGCTGTCATATATCGTATTCCGGCTCCTTCACTATAAACTTGGTTTCATTACGTCTTTTTTAATTCAAATTTAATAAATGTTCACTTTAATCCATACATGCCTAATTACCACAAACAACAGGGAATTGACAACATAGACGTTGCGCCAAAATACACGCCAAAGGCGGCCAAACATAGCCAAAGTACTTTTCAAACATATTGGTAACACTGATTTTCATAGATGAACAAAGAAGCTATAGTAATTTACTTGACCATTTATTCTATACATAAAACTACGACCTCCATTTTTTTTTATTAAGACAATATTTTTATTTTATAATTACAATTGGTATGAATTATTGATATTTGAAGATGTTTAGTACATCGGTAACGCGCGTATGACAAGGGTTCAAGCCTCGGCCCGGATACACGTGAGAAGAGTGATATCCAGTCTGACCCTACCAAACACCACAGGTTTCCCGGTCCCTGGTTTCCACCTGTACTAACAATGGATAGTGCCCAAACGGCTGATAAGTGGCGAATATGATATAACATAACATATACTACTTTAGTTTTCACCAATTTGTGTCCTGCCAGAAGTGTTTTATACCTCTGAAGAAACGCTATTATTAATACCCTGTATCCCATTAAATAGTTCCCCTTAAATAATTGTGGATTTTTTTTATATATTTGAATTGTCTATATACACAGCCCACGAGCACCATCCAATTCATCTTTAGTGTTGGTGTGCCTATTATTATTAATATTGTCATTACAAATTGCTCTTGCTCTTATTCAATTTGATTTTATTGGATAAAAAGTCGTACAGTACACGCATACATTTATAAACATTTACTGATGACAACACAGAGCCCAGCATTATTGATACTCGGATTTTTTTTCCAATCTTGAGGTGCTGAAGTGCAAGTGCCAGTCTGGTGGCCCTCCTTTGAACATTTTCAACCAACTGACAGTCCCTAGCATACCTCGGGAACCAGATGGGGTGACAGTACTCCGGGGGAAGCACTTCACTCTTGAAAATCGTTACGAGGGACGGACCGTTTAGATATCTGAATGACCTTCTTATAAGACCCAATAATTTATTTGCCTGATTTACCTTCTCCCAATGGCCCGAGAACTTCAACTCATTGTCAACATACCGATACATACGCTGAATATCATAGCCAGTAAAGTGAACTATTTGATTGAGAATTATATACCCAAGACCAAACCCAGTGCCTCCAGGAATACAAAGAGACCACTACACATGAACCATGCAGCGAGTGACAAAGTTAAGAAGAAAACCCATAAATTTATGGTGTTGGTTAGGTCAAACGATGAGCAGGACAGGAACCAAGCAAAGTGTAGAAGGGCTGAAAAGGAGTTCCAGAGGCTGGTTGCAAGTAAGGTCAAGTCAAACCCAGAGGTGTTTTATCACTATGCAAAAGTCAAAATTAATAACGCGAGTAGAAGTATTGTACCTGAGGCTTGAAGATGGTAGTTACACAAGAGAGGATGTGAACAATCTTCCTGTGTTTGAGGACAGATGGATCGACACAGCGCTGACCCACATTGTGTTCACAGAAGGGGTTATAAGAAATAAATTGTCAAAGCTAGAGGTTCATAAGCGTCCTGGCCCTGATATGGTGCACTGAAGATTGTTCGCATCCTCTCTTGTGAACACCGATGACAAAAATTGGTTCAATGCCTCTGCCTTATCCTGGTCAGAATCTGCATAACTACCATCTTCAAGCCTCAGGTCCGATATGCCTACTCACGTTTTTAATTTTGACTTTGCGTAGCAGTAAAAAGCGCCTTTGAGTTTGACTTGACCTCGCTAGCAATCTGCCTCTGGAACTCTTTTTCAGCCCTTTTCACCCTGACTTTGCTTGGTTCCGGGATCTGGCATACATCCTCCTGTCCTGCTCATCATTTGTCTGAACCCACATCTCGAAATCCTGAAATTTCTTCTTAACTTTGCTGACTGCATGATTCATGTGTAGTGGTCTCCTTGTATTCCTGGAGGCACTGGGCTTGGTCTGGTATATAATTGTTGATCAAATGGTTTACTTTACTGGCTATGATATTCAGCATAGCATCTGCATTCTTATTCCTTAGTAAGTCAGGCCTGTGTATACTCCTCATCTCGTCCATCATCCAGTTGTAATTTATTTTGTAATATTTGAACCTGGACCTGGTTTTGTCATGTACCAAGTAACCGTTAAATATGAAGGACAACGTTATGTGGTGAACTGGTGCCAACGGGGGCTAGGTGTTCCAGATTGGCCACCATACCCTCCTCATTAGTTATGATGAGGTCCAGTGGTTTGGGTGTTTGCTCCCCTCTGTAGTGAGTCAGATCTTTAACATGTTGGATTATTTAGGTCGTTTGGTGTAGATTCATTTCTACAGTCGATGTTGCCATAATTAAAGTCCCCCATTACAAGGAGGTGGTTAGGGTTCTGCACCGTTACATTGTCAATTAAGGTTCTTAAGTTCCTCTGGTTTGATACGCTACAGTTTGGGGATCTGTAGATACATCCAACAAGAGTAAGTCTCTCCCCTTCAGTTTAATTTTACACCACTTTGATTCTTCGAAAACATCCTCTCCCTGCACCCTCACCTGGCTGGCTCTAAGATCTTGCCTAGCATAGATAACCACATCCCCCCTTGCAAGTTTCTTGGGAAAGGTTTGTAAATGATTCATATCCATCTATATTCAACTCCCATTCCTCCGGTTCGATTCTCCTGTTTTTGTACAGCAGTTTTACAACACTTATTATATTGGGTTGATGTACCCTCGGTAGTGTTTCAAACTCCACTCTCTTGTCGAGGAATGTGTCAGTATTAGTGTACTGTACTGTATATGACTTTCAAGCCGGAAATTGTCCTCTGTAATGTCTCTGGTCTTGACTCGGGCCCCCCTCCATTCTCTGCAGTTGCCTCGTTTACTATATCCCCATTCGGAGATATAGGTACTGCACAGATCCACATTGATAGATGAAACAATATTAGCTCTAGAAACAGATCTAGTTTGAGAGAGTAAGGGGAAAGGGAAAAATGAGAAGAAGACATCACTGTTTTAGATGACTCTTGACTCCTACTGCTGTATTAAGGCAGTGGCACACTGGCCAGCCAGCAAAACAAGAAACTTTTTTTGTCACTGGGAATTCCTGTTGCAGTTCTAGGGCGATGTCCTTCCATTTGCCTTTCTTCAGGAGGTTTTTGCTGAAGTGCTCATGTTTGTGGTCCCACAGAATCAGGTAGTCCCTAGTGCTCTCTATTAATTTGTGCTGTGCTTCACAACTTAAATAACCTTCCTAGGAGACGGAGAAATGGTACGCTTTGGGTGCTGGGGAAGCCATGGTAAAGCATGTCAAGTGGTGGTGGCTGACTGGTCAAAGAAGACCCTGAATAATGATTTAATAAAACTAAATAAGTTTTAAAGTGACGAATAAATAGAAACATGTCACTGTTTTATGTGATATATTTTAAATTATTATTGTTTCTTGATTTATTTCAATTGTTACTTAAATAGTCAACACCTAATACGAAGCTCATTGAGCACTGGATTAGTGCTCAATGAGCAAAGCTCATCAAACCATTGTCCATTTCTTGCAACAGCCCAAATCCTGCTGCTTGTTGGGCCATTAGGCCAGTGGCCAGCAAAAACTGCCAACATGTTGGGAGGAAAATGCCCAGTGTGCTGCCACTTTTACTGTTACTTATACCCTGTACAGTACTGTACTACTACTACAGTTACTAATACCCTCCTGTACTACTACTGCTCTTACTAATACCCTGTACTGTACTACTACTACTGTACTACTACTGTCACTACTACCCTGTACTATTACTGCTGTTATTACTGCCCTGTACCATTGGCATTAATACTGTTACTCTTAATGTACAACTATGAAAAGTGGTCCTTGTAATTTTCTGGGACTCCATGTCTAAGAATTAAAACCAAATACTGTACACGTAATGAATAAGTAGCTAATAAGTAATTGCAAGCTGAAAAAAAAATTGATGCACAGAAAGGCTTGATATTTTATGGTGATATTTTATGGCAAAAGTATTACCATAAAATATCACCATTTCATAGATTTTCAGGCATGATTTTATTTTTTTAACTTTATCTCAATACAGTATGTTAAAAATTTGTGGGGAATAATATGACCATTTCTTTCATTGATTGTAAGCTTTGGTTGCTTCCCATCTTGATGCAATGTCTTAGCCTCTACAGTACAGTCTATACCTAAGATTAAGGAGCAATCTATCACTTTCATGAGTTTCCAAGTTGAACATCACCACCTATTTTTAGGATTTGCAGATGATATACTGTACATACAAAATGAATGGATCAAAAACTAAGTACATTTTCATTTCATTTTATTACTATCAAAACAACAGTATAAGTACAGAGATTCCATAAGGATAACAATATAAATAATACTTTTGGCAAATTTATATTACACTAATCCCACCACTATACCCTTGTTGATTCGGCAGAAAATGGGGCTCTGGGTCACTCGAATTACCAAAAAATCCGAATTAACTGGGTTCAGAATATTTTTACATTGTTCGACAATTTCTGAATTTTTGTGTTCGATTATTCTTTAATTTTCTGTTCAGTTTTGTGCCTTGCCTTGGCTGCCACATAAAATAATCTACAGTATTTGTAATTACTGTGCAAACAATTTTTTTTTAAAACAACATATTGTACAGTAATAATAAAGTAAATAATATAGTACTAAATAAATGTAACACTGTATGCTGAGCTAATGAGGTAAAGGGTGAGGTGACAAGGCAAGAGATGGGGTGACGAGGCAGGAGGTGCGGCAGTTACATGGCCCATTCATTAACAGCACTACTAAACCATTGTCTTATAACATTTTAATTTATAATTTCTATTTAAAAATTAATTGATAAATGATGGCTCGATCAGGCTACTTTTGCACTTAGACAACTGATCAGTGAGTAAACCAGGGCTTATCGAGATTCAGTATACTGCACACTACAATAAGTAGCTAACGAGTCGATCAGTGGCGAAGAGGTTAAAAATATATATAAAGTAAATATAAAGTTCTGATAAATATGCCACAATATTATTTACTAAATGCTCAAGACAGATCCTGTGGTAAGCACCAACTCCCTTGAGCAGTGACAACAACAGTGCTTAAGAGATGATGAGAAGAGACTGGGAATATTCATAGACACAATAGCTTATCTGGGATTGAGTGTGGGATTTTTTGGGGGGGAAAATTAATAATTTTTTTAAAATGTTTTACCAACTCAGCACTAATTGAACCTAAATAATATGAGAATTATTGCGTAATTGTATACTGTCGTTATAAAAGGATCGCGGGCTGATGAGCATGGGAGGTAGTGAGTTGTCCTCTGCTCCCTCCTGTTCTGCCAAACACCACCCCCCCCTCCCCTCCCTGGCAATGCATCCAAACATAGTTTTGTACAGTATCTTAATATATTTCATATTGTATTACGATAATAACCGACTTTTCGGAACTGCTTGGTTACTTCAGAGTCATCCTGAATTCAAATTGTTTAATTAATTTTTTAAACATAAAACAACTTATTACAAATACATTAAATAAAAATTGTACACATGTTAAAAATTTGATGTTAAAAAACATTTTAAAATCAATACAATACAAGCACTACCATGCAAGAACAGTAAAAGATGAAGTCTGGAACTTTACCTATATAACAACAGAAATATCAGCAGACTATTCAGCTGTTATTTTGTGTACGTACGGGAAGAACTAATGAACTTTGCTGGGACAAAGCCTAGGACACCATTACTTGTTCTCACTAAATTCCACTCTGAATTAGATTTGTCCATGACTGTGATCACCTGGCCCTCTACAAGTGACACTTCACTCTCACTCTGCAACAGAACCAAAATGATACAATATATCTTTATAATAAAACTTGAAAAATGTAATGAAAGGCATCTTATGACGATTAGGAACCCCTGTGTACCGTATTTCACCCACTGATTAAACACCCTAATGCTAAATTGGAGGGTTAGGTTAGGTAAAGTTAGGTTACATTAGGTTTTGTTTGGTTAGGTTAACATTAGAGTATTTAATTATCTTGTAAAAAATAAACAGGGTTTCTTAATCTTCAGAAGATCCAATGAATACAATAACAAAACAATAGATGTAATACAGTCAAATAAAAATTAATGTGTAGTGTAGAAAAATGTGCTAACAACATATAATACCCCCATTATATTATAAAAATAATTATAACACGTATACAATACAGTACCAAGACAACAAATGTTTAGTTATGAGGTTATTATTGCATATTTATACCAATTTAAGAAAACAAAACAAAAGTAAAAGGGAATTTCAAAAGGCCTTACATGTTCTCTACAATATTTTTCTGAACATCTTTGAAGGGATATGGAAGAAGGTGTATAATTGTTTGAAATTTTGAGATTGTGTACTTAGATTGAGAAAGCAATAGTAAATCACAGTAAATACAATTTATATATGTAACCTGCTAGTACTGGTGAGTTAAACTACCACTAATTAGACTATTTAATATGCTGTAATGATGAGTTACACAACAGAGAATTAGCTTTTAGAAATATGCTGTACTGGTATGCTAGATCACCACTAATCAGACTATGTAATATACTGTAATGTACTAGTGAGCTAGACTACCACTAATTAGACTATGTACTATGTTGTACTGCACAACAAAGAACTAAGTAATGTAACATGCTACATAAGAACACTAGGTCACCAAAAATAAAATGCTCATAAGTATACATCTGTGCTTTATCATTATGTACATACTTTTTCTCTACTTTCAATAAGGCCAGCATGAGAGAGAGAGAGATTTTTTTTTTTAAGTGTGAGAAGAAAGACTATATGAAAGAAAACAGGTGTGGTCATTATGTGTGTTGGGGCCGGGGTGAAGGTGTGGCCTCAGGTAAATATGAGTCTGTCCAGCACATCTCTACTGACAGTATAAAAAGGAGGCAATGTAGTGATATAACCTTAACCTGGAACATAATGACCAAATTGTTAATGTTCATATGCCTGGTGATCAGAGGCTGGTTGACAATGAGTGACATTATTATTAAACTGTTGATTTTCCTTGGATCAGAACTTTGCCAAACTTCCAAGATCTTTAATTTACAGTTGATGTGTACTGTATGTGTATTACTGTACAGTAGCTAAAACAACTACTGTATCTGTGCAAGTGGGGGTCGATATGGTCCAAAATTTTACGTGTGACTAGTGATAGCCCTCAAATACCAAAATTTATCGTCCATGGTCTAATATTGTTTCTCACAAAGTATGCACAGATAGTTGTTTTTGTTACTGTACCTCTTTGTCAGTTTGACTCTCCAAACACTGTTTTAGCTGAATATTCTCCAAGCATATGTATTAAGACACCATGACACATGTTCAGGTTCATTCAAGAGCCATGTACAGCCAGCCAAAGATGAACCGACCCCACCATGGATCTTGTGCTCGCACTTTTACCTGGCAATACTTGGTATAGTAAGGCTGTATGTAAAGGTGATTGTGATTGGTGGATCTATTTTCGGCTGTATTACTGTCAGGATAAATATTAAACAAACCAAAGGTAGAATTATTATAATAATAAACTATTCATTGATATTTAAGATCAAAGGGAAGTTTGCAAATGTTCTTATATTTGCTTAAATAATGAAGAAAATTTGATCTGAGAATATTGTGGCAGTCCTCGTTCCTTGTTGTAGTTGAGTTGCCAATTCATTAATATAATGTCTTCATTATTTAAGCAAATATACGAACATTTGGAAACTTCTCATGATCTTAAATAACAAAGAATAGTTTATTATAATAATTCTACCTTTGGATTGTTTAATATTTATCCTGACAGTGATACAGCCGAAAATCGATCCACCAATCGCAATTACCTTTACATACAGCCTTAATTTACCAAGTATTGCCAGGTAAAATTGCGAGCACGAGATCCAGGGTGGGGGTCGGTGCACCTTTGACTGACTGTACATGCTCACTGCCTGATGACAAAAAATAAAATAAAATAAATAAATCCATCACAAAAGACTGTCCAATTGCTTAGTGAGCTGATAAGTGACTAAAATAATTGGTAAGTATGTTAGACCTGTGGTGTAATGGTCAATAAACTTGCATCATAGAGAAATATGGGCAAGTTTCTTTAAACCATTTGCCTTGGTTTACCCAGCAGTTACTGGGAACCTAGATGTTAATCAATTGGTGGACTGTATACAGTACTGGGGTAAAGGATAGCCACTGCATTTGGCATGCTGTCCAGTCTTCTTGGTTTATTCCTTGACACTGGGGGCCATATTCCTAGTTGTTACATCACTCGACCGATCGGGAGAACCGCCGTGTTTGGCTATTCAGAGACGCCTACAGACCCTTAAGGCAATCCCGATGAATTAGGTTTCTTATTGGGATCATTGGAACAATTCATCAGGAGGGGGTACCCGTACTATGGCAGACCCGATGAATATAAAAAAAAATTCACCCTCAACTTTTCATATATTGAGCTAGAATATACTCAAAACCGTAAGTCTTGTTTACCTTCAAAGATTGTCAGTTATTTACAAGTGATAAATAATCCCAGCTGATCATGAGCGTGCAGCTGTGCATCAGCAAACAAACAAAGTCTTTCTATTCTTATTACAGCTCCAGGAGTCAGATGCCTTTTCTCGTAAAATTTTTCCCTTCTCTTGAATGAGGCTAACTAGAGCAATGCACTGTTTAAAAGACAGCGGTATGCTATATTCACAGCTATCCATATTTTCCATGCCGTGTTACGACAGCTGACTCGCGGCACACCAGCCACTGGCCATCCCAGTATGGCCAACAACCAGTGAAATATAAGCCTTCAAAACAAACCTCACAGACACCAGAGAATAATATTTCTATATCCCATAGATATCCTCTTAATACTTTTATGTTCGTTTGGTCATATGATAATATTTTTTTTTATTGTTGGTTATATTTTTTTTGGGGTGCTTCAAGGAAATATTATTAGGGTACTTGACGCCTGCACATGCTGGTAGCCCTACCTGGTGGATCGGGATCCTGACCCATCATAGTGCTTGAAGCATGTTTTTAAATAACGTCTCCCTACACGTGCTTCAGGTTCCCGATGGTTGGGCTTCCCGTCAGGCCAATTTGACTGTTAATACGAGCCTGGGTCATATAGCTTGCTAATTCAGGGTGCAATTGTTGTGTTGCTAACAGCTTCTACAACTTAAAAAAATTCAAGCCTAGGTGGCCTTAGGGCCAGTCAGCCTCAAACATGCAGGGCGACCATAACCATTAAGTGATGGGTAACTCACTCGGGCAGAGAACTGGTAGAGTGCCTGGGCCATATGCATTGGAACAGGACTTGATCCATCACTGCTGTTACTGCTTGATGACACCTCTGTTTGTAGATAGCATTATCCTTATTGTACTCTTTGTTACAGTAGTACAGTACAACACATTATTACATCCTCTTTATCTGTTACATATCAAAATAACACTGATTTCTGCCAAGTGTGTGATGATATTAGGTATTTTACCTCAAGAGCACCTCAACCTACTTTCTTTTAATATCCAGTTCTTTGTATTGTAAGGATCTAAAAGAGTTTGACTTATCAGCAAATTGAAACCAGTCTTACATAATTTAAAGAGGAGTTATGTTGCAACCTCTCCCCTGAAGCCTAAAACAGTAGTGTACAGTATTTGCAGTTCTTTCTCACAAATCCATGTACAAAACTTGTATATTACGTGTACAGGTATACATTACTTTAAATAAATAATTACAACATAATCACTTAATTATAATATGACCTCAATAACCCTGCAAAGATAGGACCAAGCACTTAACAGATTTTGGATTTCGTTTTGAGTACAGTACTAGTTAAGTGTACAAGTGCCCAGAATGCTAGCCAAATATTGTCTAAATGAATCAATTTTGTTTTATATACCATATACAGTATCTATATATGGTAAAGTTCACAGTTCTTTGATGCCTTGGGAAATATAGTTCCTGCAATGTCACTTACTTCATGTTGTTGGGCATCTACAGACATTCACAATACAGGTATTGTATCCTGCTAAGTTGTGATAATCCTTAACTTCAGAAAATAAATGAAGCAATTAGCAAACCTTACCCCTTCCTCCATGGATATTTTTTCTTGTACACATTATAATTACTTCCTCGTTCAATACAGTACTGTACAATATTAACATTTCCTTCATTTATTTACAGGTGCCATCAAGAAAAGTGAATACAATTTCAAGGGACTATTTTCATGTCTCAACCTCAATATGAGAATTCATAACCATTGTCCTACCCTTTCATGTTATTAATTAAACAAGGAAAATTACTAACCTGTTAGTGTTGATCGAACAGACGTTGAGGGAGTGAGTGATGGTGTGTTACAGGATGTATAAGATGTGGGCGTGTAAACCAGTGGCATGGGTGGTGTCTGCAGTGTTCTGTGGATAGCCACCCATGTTGATAATTCTTTAGCCACATTCACACGCAGTAAAGCTGATCGAATATTTTCCTGGTGCTGGGAAAATGTAAATTTATTTTTTCATACTTCAATGATTCAAGTTTTAAGGTAGAAATATTTTCTGTAACACATGCATGAAATGGATTCAATGGCTGGACCATAAACATCTATCTTTGAAAATAAAGCCATAATTTAAAACAAGGTAACAAAAAATGGTATATTATGTACCATAATGATACAAAGAATCAACAAGCATACATAAAATTACTATAAAATCAAATCAACTTATATTTGTAATTTATCAACCATCAGTGTTATCAATTATCCACTTTAAGCAAGAATGAATTAATACTAATACTGTAGAGTACAGTCAACCCTCGCTTTACGCGGTCCCACTTTACGAGTTTCCACGTTTACGCGGTACCCTGCCGAACACGGAATGCTCACTTTCCGCGGTGTGTGTACCCGTTTACACGGAGAGCGGCGCAAGCAGGGTGCGCACAAGGTCACCCAGTCATCAAAACATTACCTAGTTCTTCACCTGCCACCCACCACAGCTGGCCCAAGTCAGTGATAGTGATAATGATAGTGAGGATATGGACTTATATGGACTTTGAGGGGTTTGACAAAGAGGCCCTGCAAGCCTCTGTGGTGGATAGTGATACAAGTGATACAGGTGAGGGCCAATAATCTGCCCTCTGCCTCGGAACCAACCCCCCATCCCCGTGTGCCCAGCCATCTTTTCTACTAATGTAAGTGTTAAAAAACCTAATATTATTGATATTTCTCTTAATTATTAATTGTGTGTGCATACCATCATAAAATTAGGAAGTTATTTTTACTACAACGTATTGTGTCTGAAAAAGTGGAGTTTGGGGGTCGGCCCGGTCTCTATTTCAATTAATCCCATATGTTATGTTGTTCACTTTACACGTTTCTCACTTTACGCGGGCCGCCGTGGGTTCAATTGACCGCGTAAAGCGAGGGTTCACTGTAGTTTGTGAAAACTGATGGGTGATACGATATGTGAAGTGGATAACCATAGTAGAACCATCTATTATACTGTATTTACATCAGTAAGAATGATTGACAACAAATAAAGTAGAGAGAGAGAGAGAGAGATTGTAATAATGATCATAATAATTAAAGGTCTATTAAGATAACATGGCAGCCCGAAGGCTGAAAATATACAATGAACAGAGGTGATAGGTTACATATGGTGAAATAGGGGAGTGGGTCACTTGATTGACAAAAGCTTTTAAAACGAAAATATAATAAACAAAGAGTCAACATATAGATTAACTATAGATATGGTAATGTTTGAGCTGGACTTGTAAACGTGTGTGTGTGTGTCTGCACTCATGATTCCAGCAATCCTGCATTATATCATCAAAAGACTTGAATACAGTACAGTCTATGACAGCTAAATCAACAGGAAGAATTTTTCAAGCACATGTTCCAATAATTATTCAAGGGTGTCTAAGACAAGAAGTGGTATCACATATGTTTTGGGAAAACTTGACAAAAGTCCCAAGTCACAATATGAAAGGGGAATTTTCAAGTACAGTATAGAATAAAAAATCATTGGATGGAGAAACTATAGAAAGTACAATACTGCATTGAAAAGTGCTGTGATTTTATTTATTTAATTTTATATATATATATATATATATATATATATATATATATATATATATATATATATATATATATATATATATATATATATATATATATATATATATATATATATATATATATATATAAATTTTTTTTTTAAGGGGATTAGCCCACCCGGGCACAGGTCAATGACCCACATCAGGGCCTGGGAGGGATATACTATTATAATTATTATAATTATAATAAACCATAAATAAATGCAAAAACAAACAAAAAAGATCAATAATGAGAAACAATAGATGTAAGTTGTGTTGTCAAACTATGAGAAACAATTGAGACCCTGCAATTGTGTATAAATGAGGCAGAAAGCCAGATCAGCAACCTGGGACTTGGTCAAACTTTTTGTGCTGCCATATGGCAGCAGGGTATACCATTAGACAACACATTATGCTTCCAATATCTTACCAGGCAGTAGTACCTCCCTCTTCGGTAGCTGCCTACTACCTGTACTTATGTTAAATCAACCTTACAAAAACATGTGGCTAAGTTGGCTGGTATATTTCTGATCTCCCTTTTCTCTAACTCCACCAGTTCTTCAGCTTGCATTCATCTTATTGAATCAACATTAGTATATGGTTAATATTGTGAAGTGTTAAAAAAAAATTGCATTAAATCTTTTGAAATTCCTCATTACAAAAAAGAGGTAAGCAAGAATAAGTGCAATAAAGTTAGAGGCAGCAAGTGTCTGATTCAAGATATGATTAGAGTATAAAGTGGACTGAGGAAAGTAGTGCTGTTATAGTCTACAGTACGTACACTTGTTGTCCACACACAACAACTTGTTGTTAATGATTGTGTTCACTCCCTGCCATTCTTACTTTTGTACTATTACTATGATGAAATTCCCTGTTGTATGATCTTCTTCTCTTCCCCTTATTACTGTACTGTATACAGTACCTGCATATCATATTTGTACCACTTGTGTTACTTATATAGTATGATTATTTTATTTGTCAATCAAGTAACCCATTCCCCAATTATGTTCTATAACTATATTTTCAGCCTTTTGGTTGCCATGTTCTTTCAATAAACCATTAATTTATCATTATTATTATTTTTACACACACACACACACACACACACACACACACACACACACACACACACACACACACACACACACACACACACACAGGCTGGGTATACAAAATATTTTATAAACCTAAGAGTGTACGTATAAATTCTAGCTGATTTTTTAAACCAAACTCTATAAGTGAAGGATCATCTCATTACATGTTGTAGATATAAGGATACACACGACCTTTCCACCAGTTAATCTTACACCCTTCACAAAAAGTGATATCTCCATCAGCCAGAACAATTGGTGCAGAGCACTTCTGGGAATGAAAGATTTCCGGGTAACCAGACAACTCTCTCATAGCCAGAAAAAATCCCTAGTCCTGGAATTTTCCAGATAACAGAAAAATTTTCTCAGAAGATCCAGAATGATGCATTATTTCATCTCTCAAAGCTGGAAACAAATCTCTCATCCCCAGAATTTTCCGGTTGACCGAAAAATATTCTTGGAAGTTCCAGAAATTGCGCATTACATCATTTCTCGAACCTGGATAAATATCCCCCATCCCCGGAATTTCTGGGTAACAGAAAAAATTTATTGGAATTTCCGGAAAATGCGCCTGATTTTCATATCTGAATCCTGGAAAATGCAGCCCCATCCCCAGAATTTTTTGGGTACTGGGAATATTTTCTCGGAATTTTCCAGAAACTGTGCTCCTCGGAAAATCGTTCCCAAAGCCAGAATTTTTCGGAAAATTCTGGCTTTGGGAATAATTTTTCTGAGAAAATTTAAATTACGGCTACCAGAGAGTTCCAGGTTTGAGGGATTCCAGCTAATGGAGATACAGGGTATTACTATGTATGTATACTATAAAGTATTAGGGATGAGTTTCAAAATTGTTTGTTATGTACAAAAGAAACACATGCTTATCACTATTGTGTCCTGGGCTCAATCCTTATCCCAGGACAGATATGAGAAGAGTATTGTCCAGTGTGACCCTAAAAAACATGGCAGGTTTTCTCTGGGTACTGTACTGTACTCAGATTTCCTCCTGTACTATTACAGTATTGGACATTGAATGTTGTAACAAAGAAAGGACCACCCATATACAAACAGAGAATAAGCAGAAAAGTGGTGAAATCATAAAAAATAAATAAAAATAAAAACCATAGATGGCTTACCTGGTCAAAGTTTACAGCTAGCAGGGAGCAGATATTGGCAAAACTCCACAGTGATTCCCGTAACATCTTCACCCTTGCCTCCTCCTTGTCCTGCCAGACAACTGCCCATTTACTAGCTACTCATTTCTATAATAATCATTATCATCCTGCACACTAGGAAAACTAATATAATAACAAGTGTGTACTATTGTTATCTATTACAGTATTATATGTAGTACTGTATAAGTCAAAGTTAATTACTTTACATGAAAAATATAATTTACTGGTCATTATGAACACAAAGAAATAAAATGGCCTCCACACCTGAAAAATGCTGAGAGTAGGGCGGGCATACGTGCACCAGGCATTAACCATTTCATTGTGGTAGATTATGGCTTCATGGTATTGGGTCTCTGCATCTTTGGTAGCTTCAACTGCCCGTTCTCTTACATGTGCTGCCTGAAGCAGAATATCATCATCTTTACCTAAAGCCAATATCCTCTAGACTGACAAACTACCAAAATTATCTTATTTTCTTTATTTTCCTTCACATCATAAACCACAACCAATAATCGGATTTTTTTTTTACCTTTTTGTCACCTCTCAATAGTTCTCATCTTTCGTTGATATGTGGCCCATGTCACTTGCCTCTCAACCATTAATATTACCATGTGATTCATTACTTTTACTTACTTTTATCCTCTTCACCACTGATCGGCTAGTTAGTCGCTTGGGCGATCGGTCACGTCTCTGTTACGCACTCTTGGCAGGTACTGGGCATGCACCGGTTCCTGAATGTACCTGAACCTGCTCCAGTGTTGGTCAAGTTTGGTCTTGAAAGAGCGCACATTCGGTGCCGTCACAACACTTTCTGGTAGATTGTTCCAAGAGTTCACAACTCTCACTCCGAAAAAGTTTACCCTCACAGTTTCTGGACCTGCGGCTTCTTCAATCTTGAGCTGTTACCCCTTGTGGGGCAAACGTCCGCCAGCTCCAAGTAAGGACACTCAACTGAGTAGTGCCCCTTGAGATGCTTATACACCTCAATTAGGTCGCCCCTTGCCCGTCTATAGTATAAGCTAGGCTAGTAAAGGCGCTCCAATCTCTCAGGGTAGTTGAGGTGCGGAAGTGCAGGCACCAGTCTGGTGGCCCTCCTTTGAACATTTTCAATCAACTGACAGTCCCTAGCATATCTCGGGGATGAAACGGGGTGACAGTACTCCAGGTGGGGAAACACTTCACTCTTGAAGATCGATACAAGGAACGGACCGTTTAGATATCTGAACTACCTTCTTATAAGACCCAATAATTTATTTGCCTGATTTACCTTCTTCTCACAATGGCCCGAGAACTTCAGCTCATTGTCAACATACACACCTAGGTCCTTCTCACATTCAGTCTCAAATAGTATAGTTTCTTCGTCCTGTTGGGACATATGATACGCCTTCTTACCGTTGGTACGCCCCAGGTACATCCTCTTACACTTCGTGACATTGAATCTCAGCAGCCATTTCTTTGACCATTCTTGGAGCTCACAGAGATCCTTCTGCAGCTCTTCACAGTCCGCTTGGTTCTTGATATCCCGAAATAACTTGGCGTCATCAGCAAACATTTGTATGGAGGTGTGTACAGCATCAGGCATGTCATTTATGAAACAAACAAACAACAGCGGGCCCAATACACTGCCCTGTGGTACCCCGCTTGTGACAGGTACAGATGATGATTTCGTGCCATTAATCACTACACACTGCTTGCGGTCATGTAGCATTCCCCTAAACTTTTATTTATTTTCTTTTACTTTTATCAGCTCGTTAACTGTTTAGGCGGTTGGTCATGTCTTTTGTCAACATCTACACCAAGGTCCTTTTCACATTCAGTCTCTGTTAATATTGTTTCTTCATCCCATTGGGACATGTGATACACCTCCTTACTGTTGGTATGACCTAGGTGCATCCTCTTACATTTCATGACATTGAATCTTAACAGCCATTCTTTTGACCACTTCTGAAGGTGACAAAGATCTTTCTGTAGCTCTATACAGTTCATTTTGCTCTTAATCTCCCTGAATAATTTGAGCGTCGGTGAAAAATTGTATAGCAGAGTGTATAGCTTCTGGCATGACATTTACAAAACAAACAAACAACAATGGGCTCAATACACTACCTTGAGGTACGACATTTATCATGAATACAGATGATTTTGTACCATTAATCATCACACACTGCTTGTAGTTATGAAGAAAGTCACTGATCCATGCTAGGATGCTCCCCTTAATTCTGTATCCTTCCAGTTTAATTTTTTGTACTTCATAGGGTACGCTGTCAAAAGCCTTGGCATAATGCTGGATCTGAGTCCACACATCTCAGCATAAAACCATAGCATTTCTTTATAAGGATGCAGGGGTGAATCCAGGAATATCATAAGGGAGGGGTCCAAGAAGTTGTGGGCAGGGGAACATGGCGAGTGCAGCGAGCCCACCAATATCGTGGGTATTTTGAGGCCATTTTGAAGCCATGTGCACTTGACATTAGGAGACATTCTGTTGTCAATAGCAATTACTTTTTGCTATACAAAAATATCTGAGTACAATACTGCATGAAAGAAAAAGTATTGGAATATTCTGATGGAAAGGGAGGGTCTGGACCCTCAGGTTCCCCCCTCTGGCCTGGATTCGCCCCTGGGATGTTGCATCATGGCGTATATTTTATTGCTCTCTAACACTTTACACACTGTACTGGTCAAGTTCACTGGCCTATAATTATTTGTGGAGTGGCAATTTATCTGTTTGAATACAGGACTCACACGAGCCATTTTCCTGGGGGCGAAAATATAATTATAATAATAATAATTATGTAATAATAACAATAAATAAATACAAAAATGAAAACATAAATCAAGAGTGAGAAACGATATACAGTATGTACCGGGTATGTTGTGTTGTAAATAGTAAGGGAAACAATTGAGACCCTGCAATTGTGTGTAAATGAGGCAGAAAATCAGATCAGCAACCTGGGACTTGGTAACAATTTTGTAATGCCATATGGCAGCAGGGTTTACCATTACTGTACACAATACCTGTATACTAAAATACAGTGTAATTATGTGTGGTACCTTGTAAATTATTGTAATATTAGCAAGTTCTTAAATTATTGTCAATTAAATATCTATGACATTGATAATTTGGCTGAGGAGCTGCAGTTTGAAATGTGAACAGTGTCAACATTCCTAGAAGAACACTGCATCTGATTTTGGTTCAACCTTGTCACTGACAGATCTTCTGAAGTTGTGTGATTTGTTTTCTGCTATTTGAGAAGCGCTACTGATCTTGACACTTCCCGCCTCCACTTGTGAAGTAAAGTGGTAATTTAGCATGCTGAGACATGTCAAGACATAGTTTCCATCAACAATGTCAACTGAACACTTGTCTGGTTTGTACATGTTCAGTGTGCATCGTTAGAAGCTATTAGATAGAAAAAAGCCTACACTGAAGATGTAATTGATCATTTTGGAGCTGGTAAGTGCCGCCTGCAATATTTATTTAACCATTGAAATTATGCTGCTAATGTTCTGAGCAAGTCACCACCATGAGACAACTAGCATTGGGCATCCTTTGATTTTCAGGATTAATTATATCTCATGAATTACTGTACTGTACTGTATTTATTTTAGTTTTTAATGCTTAAGGTCAACCCTATGATAATTTTAATGATAAATAATTTGGTGATAGTACTGATAAGTGCTATTGTTGATCATACAGTACTCGAAAGTAACTCGATTATACTTTATCATACTTTTATATGGTTGTATATCGTACCTGTTTTGAATAAATTGATATGTCAGGTCTTGTCTTGCTTTCATGCACCCTCCTGGAAAAATTCCTGCAATGTTCATGCTTTGTTGACTATCCTTGGTTGAACTGCCTCACTGTTTACCATTGTTTGTATATCTTTACTAAGTACAGTACAGTATATTGGTTGTATAACTGCATACCTACAGTGTCTACATGCTGAATCAATTGTAAAGTTTTATGATAATTTTAATGAATAAATATCAATCAATCAAATGCAGGTCTTATAATTAGTGTTTACCTTTACAATATTTTCCCAATTTTTTTGAATTTCAATGATGTGATAGTCATAAATTATCATAACTCTGCCCTTATTGGTACAATCCTGTGAATGCTGCTACTCTGAATGAAGTTTTCTTAAAAATCTGCCATTCATTTTTTAAATTCTTGAAATATCAAAAGGGAATTCTGTAAATTTCTCAGGGATTCAGAAAGGTTTTCAAGGCTTCATGGAGCTGTAGGAAATTATGTATTGTTAACTCTTACATGGACAATATTTATCCTGATCTTACAGCCAACATCACCTAATGACTTATCCTTATTTCCAAACACTTGTCCTCACTTGCTGATCATCATTCTCTTCTGATTATCCTCTCATAATTTGCTGATCATCATCCTCATCTGTTGACCATCATCCATAATTGAAGACCTTCATCCTTACTTACTGACCCTGTCTCATCAACTGACCCTCATTATTACCAATCAACTCTCATCCTCACTCGTTCAATATCATCCTAATAGCAGAGCTTATTATAATTTTTTTTTTTGTGCAATTCATCTATAATACAGCTCTCACAGTTCTGATTTCTATTAAGCATACACACACATACATATGCATGCCTCCTTTCATTTCCCCAAAACTTGCCTTACTTCTCTCCTTCTAATTTGTGTTCTCTTCCTACAATTAAAACTTAGTATAAATGATCTTACCTTCACTAGTTCCCTTGGTTTAGCATTACACTTAGCATCCATTATCATTCTAAGTGAATCTGCATCCTTCAAGCCTCCAATTTTATTCTGGATGTGAGTAAACAACCATAAGATAACAATAAAATAGAAAAATAATTGTCTTGTAGTTACTGTACTTTTTTTTCTACAAATGTCTACAGTATATTTTTCTCAATATAAATTCATAATTATCATGTTACAATGCTTTCAAAATGTAAATGTACACTAACAGCCTAATCTTCACCAAAACAACTAAATCATGGGTTAGTGGAAAGATGGAAGGGGCTTTAGCATGGAATGACTCACCTGAACATCACGCTGAGTTTGTCGTACCCGATGCATTCCATCCCGAACCTGTTGTTGTTTCTGCCTGGAACATGGACACCACTTACTTGCTGATGATGCAGCCAACTAACATATGTTTACAAATACAATGCAGTACAGTACATTCAAAATGAGCTATTACATCCAGCTACCTGGTAGTCCATACTACTGTAATACAGTACTGTACTGTATGGTGAGTGCACAGAATAGTACTGTACTGTTCTTGGATTCTAGACTCAAAGAAAGATATAGTTACTAATATGTAACAAGATACGGTACTACAATTTACAATAAAAAATGTGGCCATTATTTAAAAAAAATGTTTGAACTAAGGACTATACTGTACAGTATAAATAACCTGCTATACTGAACATCCCTGAGACATCTTAATCCCACTTTTATGGTTAAAATATTAAAATTTTACTAATAAAAGGAATATCTGCTCCTAAATAACAACATGTTATTTTAGGTTCAGGTAGTTTAATATAAAGTATAGTACAGTACAGTATTTTCATCTTTAATTATTCATATAATTAATTTCCACCCTTAATGTTGTTCATCTTCACATATCTTTCTTGTGATACTGGTCTTTTTCTTACCTTAGAATGTCTCAAAATCAAGAATAATCTTACTTGGCCTCTTCCTTGGTATGTTTGTAAGTTTGTTTGGCCTCTGTAATGTACTGAGAAAGCTGTGTGACCTGGGAGTTGATGGCTACAGCTGCATCAATGGTGTCTTGCCCCCATGACTCCACATTATCCCGAGCTGTCTGAAGTGATGTCTTCAGATCTCTGTCCATTTATTCAGTAATTAATGATAGTTGTACATATTATTCATTACACTACACTGTATTCTCCTAAACTTACTCGGTGTAGTTCTGTATACAAAACTAGCACTACACTGTACTGTATTACTCATTGCACTACACTTTATGCAGTATTCACTATTAAAAGTCTAGATTTCCAATACTTGTACTGTACAGTACAGTATATGAAATTTTATGATAAACACAAATTGTTTTAATGAGAAGAGGCCTACATTGTGGATAACTAAACCAAGTTTCATTTACTGATTAATAAAGTATAAATTCCACTGCAAATGATGTGTTTACCATAACACAAATTTGATACAAAACCAAACAAAATTGATCTCCCTTTCTGTACTCATATCTATAAACAATACTTGATAACTAAAATACCATCATATACCCTGTATACCTGAAATTCTGCAGCATAAAATATCAAGTTATGAAAAAACATATCACACTTGAAAAGGTTTATGCTCTCACAGGTAAATGTTATTCATTTCAAACAACATACTGTATAAGTACAGTACTGTATTTAAAACTAATATGTGATGTACAGCACAGTATATATTTGTTAACAAAGAGAAACTATCTTCTACAGGTACACACTATATACCCTATTAGGTATTTATTGATACAGGGTACAGAACTGATATAAAAATGTCAGGATAATGTAGTATATTCCAAATACTGCACAATCAATTATGTCTGAATTCGTCAAATAAACCCATTTCAAATGTCCTTTTTTATATGAAAAAATGCAATGAGTCATGTAGAAGGTATGGGATCAGCAATCATAATCAGTTGAACTTAGAACAAAAAAAGGTTGACTTGCCCATGTTCCATGTCAGGCAGAGGTGAATTCTTAGTAATCTTGAGCAGTGAGTGCCCGAAGGTTTCCATAGCTGCTGCCCTGTCAACACATCCAAACTTCAAAGTCATGTTCTTTACGGTACAACAGTACAGTGCTATAAGAACCATAATATGTGTTATTTCGGAACCATGTGATGGTACTATAGTACCATCACATCCAGGTTGATTAAGATGGTAATATACTGTACTGTACTGTATTGAAGTGGTGTTCATTATGGTGTCACTACATCCAAATAAATGTGGCCAAATACAACCCACCATGAGTAATTTCACTTACAGTATTAATAGACAAAGTTATATTAGTCCAGTTACACCACACCTTACAAATACTGTATAGGAATTATATATTAAGCCATCATACTTAAGAAGTGATAGGGTTGCAGAATCTTAACTTCCTTGTTAAGTGTTAGTTGGGACAACCAACACAAGTGGCACTGCTTAATTACAGGCAGTAGATTCATGTATCAACTGATGGGTGGTAGTTGGTACAGTACAGATGTGAGGAAGGTGTCATCCAGTGTGACCCTTCCAATCATGGCAGGTTTTCTCTGGGAGCTACAGTTTCCTCATAAACCAACACTGGACAATAAAGGTCATAACAAAGTAACAATGAACAAACCAACTGACTGAATGGCTAGTAAGCTGGTAATTTTTTTTTTTTTACTGGGATTAGCCCACCTGGGCACAGGTCACTGACCCACATCAGGGCCTGGGGGCGAAAATATGATAATGACAATAATAAAAAAAATAATACAGGTAACTATAATTATTACCGGTATTATAATAATTTAAAAAAATAATAACAAAATACCTGTACTAAAAATAAAAATAATACACTAAAAATAATAATAATAACTATAAATAAATACAAAAACGAGAAAAATAAATCAAGAATGAGAAACGATATACATTATGAATGTTGTGTTGTCAAAGTAAGAGAAACAATTGAGACCCAGCAACTGTATGTAAATGAGGCAGAAATTCAGATGAGCAACCTGGGACTTGGTCACAATTTTCGTGATGCCATATGGCAGCAGGGTCTACCATTAGACTGTAGTGGATTCCTCCCCTACAAGCACCGAACCTTCTCGAATTCCCCAGCCTACGCCTCCAGCGCCGCCCACGGAGCGGGGTTCAACTATCTACCCACGCCTACCCCCGCCTTATAAGGCCTGACACCGCTGTGACCACCCTCTTTCTACCCAGTGCCACAAGCAAGCAACACCTCCTCCTCCGGGCCAGCCTGGCAGCTGCCGCTCCCGCCAGCGACCTTGGCGTCCCTCAAGCTGCGTGCCCTCCTCTGGGCCCCCTCACCACCCAGCTCTCTCTACTCAATGCTTATTACCATGCTACCTACCCAGCAACAAGCTGCATTGTACATCCAATACAATATGTATACAGTGAGCACATTGTGAGTTTCCTTTCTCCATCTCATCCTGAGTGTGAACCAATATCTCATAACCCCACAAATGGTGACCCCCAGAGATTCGCACTCACACAGGATGGAGAAGAAACTGATCACTCTCCCAGTCTTCAAGCAACATGGAAGACTGGCTTACCCACGCAGAGGCAGCTCTCATCGGCTCTACAGCTACTGTCTCTACACCGCAGGTTAGACACCCTAGAGCAGCTCTGCTACTCTAAGCAGACAGCCGCTCCTCTTCCTGCCCCAAGCACCACGTCCTACCGACCCCAACACACCCGTCCTGCCTCAGACGCCGCCCCCGGCCCAGCAGTACCCCCTGCCGCTCCTCCTGACGTGGCCCCTGCTCCTAACGCGGACCCACACACCCCTCTTTTCTTCCTCAGGTACCCCCTGCTACTGTCTTGCACCCTGCTGCTGTCATGGACACTCTCCCTGACGCAGCCCCTGCTCCTGACCCAGGCCCACACACCCCATCAGGCGCATCTGAGGACTCTGTACCTGTAAGAGGGAAGCACAACAATCATCGCCTCCACAACCCTCCTTCCCCCTCTTTTTTCCCACAGTTCTCGTGTATATAGACAGAGTTGCCCCCCCTAGCGGCCAGCTCATCCACGCCCTCACCGTTATGTCTCACATGTGGCATGCACCACCCGTACTGCCTCACATGTGGCACTTAACTCTGCCAACCTCCAGCCTCCCGCCGCGCCCGGAGGGGAAGGGGAGTATTGTAGTGGATTCCTCCCCTACAAGTGCCGAACCTTCTCGAATTCCCCAGCCTATGCCTCCAGCGTCGCCCACGTTGTGGGGGTCAACTATCTACCCACGCCTACCCCCGCCTTATAAGGCCTGACACCCCTGTGACCACCCTCTTTTCTACCCAGTGCCACCAGCAAGCAACACCTCCTCCGCACCAGCCTTGTGGCTGCCGCTCCCGCCAGCGACCTTGGCGTCCCTCAAGCTGCATGCCCTCACTCTGGGCACCCTCACCACCCAGCTCTCTCTACTCAATGTTTATTGCCATGCTACCTACCCAGCAACAAGCTGCATTGCACATCCAATACAATATGTATACCAGTGGCGGCTCGTGAAAAAAAAAATGGAGGTACTGCAAGCCTCACACCGAGTCCCCACCAAACAATAAGCATGGAAAGCAGAATAAAGTATTTGCCTCGTCACAACCACAGAGCCATTCACATTTCTGATAAACACTGATGTTAAACTGGCGTGTATATTCTTTGTTCCTGCTTGTACTGTTCTGAAATTCCATGCTTATTGTTTGGTGGGGACTCGGTGTGAGGCTTGCAGTCCCTCCATTTTTTTTCACGAGCCGCCACTGAATTGTATACAGTGAGTACATTGTGAGTTTCCTTTCTCCATCCCATCCTGAGTGTGAACCAATATCTCATAACCCAACAAGACAACACATTATGCTTCCAATATATTCCCAGGCGGTAGTACCTCCCTGTGTTGAAATGATACCCGAAAAAATATTTTGGGCTGTAATTAGCAGTCAGATCTTTGAGGCCTACTTTCACTAAATTATAAGAATTAATTACAGTATCATCAGCTATTATATGATAACTGTGCTGGAGACATTGAGGAGTTACAGTATGTATGGGAAGTACAGTACTGCATTACATTAGATTGTCTATATTCTTAAAATAATTAATTTACCTTACAGTTTTCAAGACATTAAAACTCCATACAGTGTTTGTGTGTGACTGTAAACTACCTACACTTGCTTTAGGAAGTCAATGTAGTTGCCGGTGATCTTGCTTGCTTCTTTCATGCGCTGAACAACAATGTCCCAGCCTCCGAAGTCTCCAACCTCTACATTCTGAGGAGGAAATTTTTCATCTCAGTAGACATGAACACAATCTCAATTTTCTCGGGTGTCTCAGTCTTAGTTTGTCTCTTGTCTCAGTCAGGGTTGGCAAAAACCAGTTTTATTTTTAACCGAAAATCATTTATTTATTTTATTTGTTTTAATGCTATCATGTTGGTGTTAATAAGTTTTAAGTATGTGTAGCCCTTTTTATAACCTTTATAATATGTTATTATTTATAAACATTATATTCACTGTGCATAGGCCAAATTTGAATAACACAAGTTTTGATCAGTCATCCAGACATGTTTAAAGCAAAAAAACTAAGTTTATCTTAATGCATGGAAAAAATATTCTACCGTAGTGACCTACGCTCCCTATAACCGCTCCGCCGTCCTCGCCTCAGCCAATCAGCATTGCAGCTCACTTCACACCTTGTTTCTTGATCTGGCAGAATCATATAAACACCCCCCTGCCTCGCCGTGAAGGACAGGAAGTAGGAAGTATAATAGCAGCAGAAGTAAGAAGTATAATAAGCAGCACCACATAAATAAACCAATACTAATACAAAGGTTTGACGACCTTTGGGAGCAAAACAAAGATAAAAAATCAATAGATAAGATGAATTGATCTGGTTAAGCCCAGTTTCCACTCCTACTGTATTTCAGTTTGACCACCTTTCTTCAACCCCTAATAATCTTCTTTCACCTCATAACTCATGACTCCAATGCCAATGTGAAGGGCAGACTACATCACGCTCTCAAGCCAACAAGACCGCCTCTCAATAAGCTCTTCCACAGCAACTCCTCACCACACAGCAACTCCCCAGCATCTTACTGCACTGTACATACAATATACGTAGAGAAAATGCTATTGTGAGTTTCCTTCCTCACCTCCATCCTGGGTGCGAGATCTCCTTTATTGTATGTATGTTTGTGAGCCTAACGAAGAGAAAGTTGACACACTAACAAAGAGAACTTAGACTACTGCACCACATGTGCTAAGTTACACTACTTTTACAGTTGATTACAGTTGGAGAGAGAGAGAGAGAGAGAGAGAGAGAGAGAGAGAGAGAGATGGGCAGTGACAACTTGAACACATTAGAATCCCAGGCTCAGAAACCAACAATAAATAGAAACAGTCACCAATTATACTGAACAGCGGCAACTTGGTTCACTTATAATCAGGATTTGAGATGTGTGCAGCGCTGTAAGAAAGCTTATTATCACCACTTTCACCAGTGTGTAATACAGGGTAGTTCACATCCATGTCTATATTGAACAACCACAGGGACATAACACATCCCTGTCCAACACCCACATTTATTTCAAATGTTACACTTTCCTTCCCATTTACTCTTACTGTTGCCCTGCTGTTCTCAAAGAATGCTTTTACTGCATATAATAGCCTTCCTTCCACCCCTATACACTTGTAATGCCTCCCGCAATTTTTTCTTTTCATTCTATCATATGCCTTTTCCAGAACTACTTCTGGTAAAAATCATTAAAACCACCTGTTAGTAATATATATATATATATATATATATATATATATATATATATATATATATATATATATATATATATATATATATATATATATATATATATATATATATATATATGCTTGGTTTTATATATATATATATATATATATATATATATATATATATATATATATATATTACAGCATACTAAAACCAAGCATAAATTCTAAGACAACGAACAAATACCGAAATGATAAAGCACACATTATGTACAGCTGTAATACTAAATATAAAATACCGGTATGGCAAAAAAAATAATCTGGGTAAGATTGAAAGACACTTCATATTTACATAAGCAATTGAGTTGTAACTAACATAAAAATAGATTTAAGAGTGAATTTTAAACAACGATTAAGATGTTAATAATCAAAAGAAATTTAAAAATTATAATTTCAACATTCTTCCTTCAGGCCAAGTTACATTTCACTATTACATCAATACAAAACCTTCATTGTATTAGTCAGAATCATTTGCATTATACATATGAGTTCATGGTTTTCAGTGGTTAATCACTAACAGAAAAACTGAAAAGGATTGTTTCTTAAATAACGTTAAGGTTTTGAATGAAGCTCTCCTAATAGTGTCGTGTTGACAATCTGTTCATTTGTTTTGTTTTTAGATTATCTTATTTATCTATCATTTTCACCACTTATCATTTAACTAGCCATTCGGGCGGTTGGTCTATCCGTTGTTAGTGTCACACTGGTTAACACCCTTATCAAGTGTGTCCGGGCCGAGGCTCGAACCCTTGGCTTGAACCTTTAATAAATTGGAGAGAGATAAGCTTAAGACATACGCGCGTTACCTAACCGATGTACTACCAACAATTGAAAACTTATTTCAGCTAAGGCACTAGTGTGGAGAAGGCATATTAAACAGAAACAAAATATGACAAATAAGGAAATATAGGAGTATCTTCTCCACTTTTCATCTCTTACTTTTTTCCACAATACTTCAATTTGAGTAAAATTTTGAATCAGTGCAGAAATTCCCCAAATTGAGACCAAATATCCCCATCGATACCTCAAATTCCCCAAACATAAGAAAAATTTCCCAGGTCTGGCAACACTAGTGAAGTTCGAATTGCTTGGACCATGGACCCATGGAGGTATAATAGGCCGGATGGATACACGTGGGAAGGGTGTTGAGATTTGTGAATCTACCAAATAACAAATCATTGTTTACTTCCGGTTTCCTCCTGTACTTACACTGGACTGACCAACCGACCGAACGAATAGTAAACTGATAAGTGGTGAAATTATGATAAATATTAAATCACTTATAAAACGAACAGTTAAATAACATCACCTTTAGAGATGAATAAAACAAGTTGCAGTACATACTTTACTTTATTCTCTTCGCCACTGATCGGCCTATTAGCTGCTTGGATGGTCGGTCATGTCTCCGGTACGCACTAAAAGACTTACCCAAAATTCCTCATTAAACTTGCCAATGGAGCCCATTATGGTTATCTATTAATATTATGTATGGTTGTAGGAAGATCTGACTCCTGACGCTTGAGTTGGCTACACTGCCGTCAGTGCCTCACACCAGGCTCACAGAAGACACCAACACAACACGGTACTTGTACCTGTAACATTCGGAAAACTATTTTAATAGCAAGTAACGGTATTATATGAACTATTCCAACAGTAAATAGGGGGCAAGATCATAGTGAACTATTACAACACTAATTAGGGGGGGGTTCATGGTGACCTATCATAAACACTTAACTTGGGAGGAAGGGAGGTTCATGGTGAAGTATTACAACACTAACTTGGGGGAGAAGGTTCACGGTGAAGTATTGCAACACTAACTTGGGGGGGGGAAGGTTCATACTTTTTACTTTTATCCTCTTCACCGCTGATCGGTTCGTGGTGAAGTATTACAACACTAACTTGGGGGAGAGGTTCACGGTGAAGTAGTATATCAACTATTACTTTACCAAAATTATCTGGACAGCTGAGAAAAACATAGAAGTAAAATTGAGAGTAAGAACGACCTTCGATTATCATCTGTGTTTAGTAACAAGAAAACAAATGATGAAGTTCATGTGACAAGTGAATCATCTAATATTTTTTGTGTCGTGAGTCGTGGTGATGAAGGTTGAACTCTGCCCTTTCCTGCCTTAATCTAAATGTCTTCCTTTAGTCCAACAGATAAAATTGCTCTTGGCTTTAGTTCGTGAGAACTCTGTTGTAATACAGTTTTTGTGGGTTCCATCGCATGACAGTTTTTTAGTACACAATAATATGGTTGACTCGCTAAGAACTGCCTATGGTCTTCCTGATGCTAGGGCTTGCACCATCTCCCGTGTTACCTTCTTCCGTTTTCTCCCCAAAGCCTATCATAGGTATAGGGAATGACCTAACAGCTTGTGCTTTCAGTGTTACACCTACACGGTCTACTGGGTCTATGTACACTGTGTATACAGTATATTGTGGTTATATGCATGCTGAAACAATTGTCTTTGTATGACAATTTTACTGAATAAATACACTTGAGACGACTACACCACACACATTATACCTTTTTTTTTAAGTATACCAAGTAATTCATTCATATAATAATTGTAATATCTACATCTGGTAACGTAATAATTACTGTGGCAGACATACACTTTACTTACACAAATTGCCAAAACAACAGGAAAGCCATAGTTTCACGATTTTTATACCCATTGATGTAGTGCATGAACCTACTTAGACTGGTTCCATGACAAAACCCCAACGGGGTTGTCATTAATCAACACTAATCTAATCTAATCTAATCTAACCTAACCTAACCTAACCTAAACATAAAAGTGTTTTATTTTATATTTTATATATGAGACTGGGGTTTTGTCCGTTGGGGTTTTATCCGATCGCCACTTAGACTATGTGCTTAAAGTTCTTAGCTGTTGAAGGACAGACATATATAAAATCAACATCGTGTAACACACACTGGATAAACCGCCCAAACAGCTAGTAAGCTGATAAGTGGCGAATATGATATAAAAAAATGGGGGCAACAACTCTAAATAGGGTACATGTACTTTGGAACGCTTCGAAAGACGGGCACTCTTCTCCGCGAGTCATTACGTGTACTCTCACCTTTTACATATAAACAACTATTATGTAAAATGCACCAATTGGCGACAACCACACTGTCACCAAGTACTCTAACAACCAGACATTATAAAGAATTTACCACAACACTACACGAGTCGTGCACAGTCTTCTTGACGAGTCGGTTAAGTGAACTGTGTCAAATTAACCTTGAGGCTTGAGAAACACTAGCGGATGTAACTTTCTTCACCACAAACAGCATCTATAAGTCACTACTGCTTATTGTTTGACTATTCCTTTTCACCACAGCAAAGTTATCAGCAGAATTATTTTTTTTTCTTCTCTAAAGCAGCAAAATCGATTGTATACTGTGTACAGCGTTTCGTCACCAGGATTTCCCGCCAAAACGAAGACGATAATTGCACAAAGTAAAGTCTCTTATTCAAATTAGTTTACATGGAGAGCGACAACCGGTGACTACTTTGTGTTGTTGATGTACCAGTGTGTGTGTGGGCGAGATGCTGCTGCTACCTTGGTGGTGTCTCCGTGACTGGTGCCACCACAATATGCCAGAGAGGGAGGGAGAGAGGAGTGTCTTGGCACTAGCTCTCGTCCCTCCCCTCCCGGTACCTTCTGCACACACACACACCCTCCTACCATACTTGTTGCCTCCTTCCTACCATACCTATTGCCTCCCTCCTACCATACTTGTTGCCTCCTTCCTACCAGGCTTGTTCCCTCCTCCTACCATACCTGTTGCCTCCCTCCTACCATACTTGTTGCCTCCTTCCTACCATACCTATTGCCTTCCTACCATACCTGTTGCCTCCTTCCTACCATACCTGTTGCCTCCCTCCTACCATACTTGTTGCCTCCTTCCTACCATACTTGTTACCTCCCTCCTACCATACCTGTTGCCTCCCTCCTACCAGGCTTGTTCCCTCCTTCCTACATACCTTACCTCCCTCCTACCATACTTGTTGCCTCCTTCCTACCATACCTATTGCCTTCCTACCATACTTGTTCCCTCCCTCCTACCATACCTGTTCCCTCCCTCCTACCATGCCTGTTGCCTCCCCTCCTCCTACCATACCTGTTGCCTCCCTCCTACCATACTTGTTCCCTCCCTCCCTACCATGCCTGTGCCTCCCTCCTCCTACCATACCTGTTGCCTCCCTCCTACCATACTTGTTCCCTCCCTCCCACCATACCTGTTCCCTCCCTCCCTACCATGCCTGTTGCCTCCCTCCTCCTACCATACCTGTTGCCTCCCCTCCTACCATACCTGTTACCTCCCTCCCTACCACTTGCCTACCATGCCTCCTCCCTCCTACCACCATACCTGTTGCCTCTCTCCTCCTACCATGCCTGTTGCCTCTCTCCTCCTACCATACTTGTTACCTCCCTCCTACCTTACCTGTTGCCTCCCTCCTACCATACCTGTTGCCTCTCCTACCTGTTGCCTCTCTCCTACCATACCTGTGCCTCCCTCCTCCTACCATACATACCTGTTGCCTCCTCCTCCTACCATACCTGCTGCCTCCCTCTTCCTACCATACCTGTTGCCTCCCTCCTCCTACCATAGTACCTCCCTCCCCTACCATACTTGTTGCCTCCCTCCTCCTACCATACCTGTTGCCTCCCTCCTCCTACCATACCTGTTGCCTCCCTCCTACCTTACCTGTTGCCTCCCTCCTCCTACCATACCTGTTGCCTCCCTCCTCCTACCATACCTGTTGCCTCCCTCCTCCTACCATATCTGTTGCCTCCCTCATACCATACCTGTTGCCTCCCTCCTCCTACCATGCTTGTTGCCTCTCTATTACCATACCTTTTGCCTCCCTTCTACCATATCTGTTGCTTGAGAAAGTGAGTGTGTTGGGGTCTTATTGTGGAATTGGAATACGATAACAGAACGTACCATTTGCAGTAATAAGACTTAATTAAGAAAGAACAGAAAATGCATTTAAGAACTCACTTCTGGCCACCCTGCATTAAGAAAAGATTTGAAAAAAAAAATTGCTTTTATTTTCTTCATAAGATTTTATGCATAGATTTAATCTTCATTTTGAATGAAAATTGTGTTGTGTCAGCGGTCAGAGGTGGGCTAAATACAGTCTGTCAGATGATTCTATCCAGTCTGTCATTGTGTCTAGCAAGTTTATATTTTTTTAATCCCAGAAATTATTCATTCTGAGTCCTAAATAGGAGTGGGAGTTGGGAAGTCATAACAGCAAGACCTGTCTCCAGCATGATGCACTTAATATGACTGTCGTGACCCGACACAAACCATAATTTAGGGTAGTCTAGGACACCGTAAAACAAATAACAGATCACAGTTTACTTAGGGTCACTTTTAATCGAGACGCACTTAAATTTTTTCCCGTTAGGTCAACGTGAGAGGCTGAGAGTTAATAATTAAGTCATGGCCTGTGACTCATGGAAGGCTAATTCTTTATCTGAAATGACGTATTTTCTCCAAGACTTACAGGTAATTTTAGTTTAAATATCATCATTCTTCTCTGTGCTTCTCACTGCAATATATCTGTTTTACACTCCTGTGTATATATTTTGTGTGCCAGTTTGCTAATTTTATCTTGATATCACCCATAACCTTTGCATGATAATTCAGCAATGACTGCATCAAAGAAGAGAAAAATGCCGTTAATATGAACGAAGTGAATTCAAAACTGCAAGGAAAGGTGTTCTTTGTACAGGAGTTATATTACAGTACAGCAATAAGATATTTTTACAAAATTACTTCTTTTATCTGGTCAGGTAATAACAAGCAGTTAGCCAACTTTGCAGCAGATTACTCTTGTGATGAACATCTTAAAAGAGCATTCTTTGGTACTCTTGACTTAAATAAAAAAATTACTCGCTGATTTCAAACTACAGTAGTTAAGCGACAAGTCCTTGGTTCTGTCTCCTTTTTCATTTGATGTTGATAAATCCCCAATTGACCTTCAACTTCAACTTATTGACCTACCATGTGATCCATTGTTTTTGAAGCAGTTCAAGTTAGTGGTACAAATTTTTATGCCTAACTTGACAATTGTGCATTTTCCAAATCAAAGGCTTCATGTCAAAGGATATTTGTGTAGTTCAGGTTAACATACATATGTGAACAGAAACTTCCTATGATGAAAATTAATAGTAAATAAAAACTTGGATCTGCGATGACTGATGACGACCTTGGAGCGGTACACAACATCGCAGTCAATGCCAGACTTAAACAGTTTGAATAAAGCACATAAGCACTGTCATTAAATGAGCTTCTTGCATGTCTCATCAAATATGGAATATATAACAGCTAAATTTGTTATTTTTTCATTTCAACAAAAATAATTTTTATTTCCAGAGCGTGAAATTCTCTTGCTATGTAAATGTGTATATTAAATAAATGTCTGCACACCGATTTGTTGTTATTTAACCTAACTTCAAAATAACAGTCATCATTCAAGTATAGTACAGTACAGGTATCCTTTATTTCCTATATAAAAAAATGGAAAATTTTAATTTAAATTATAATTAAACATTTACAATTTTACATCGACAAAAGTGTATGGCCTGCAAAGTTTACCTAACACTCTTGGCTTTGAGTAAGCGCTCTCCCGTGAGACACTCGGGGTCTGGCCCGTTCCTCACCTTACCTCACTTAACTGCGCCACATGAGAGATAATTGTATGTAATGAGTGGCATTAAACTTGCTATTTGAGATAAAAAGGTGGGAGTTGTTGCATTAGCATTGTAAATAAATTATCATCAAACACTTTTATATAAGTAATCACAATAAAATAATTATTTCTATATGTAAGCGCGAGTAGAACAAAATTTTTGTTTAAGCTTAATGAAAATGTTTATATACCACTTTATACCTTTTTTATTTCACATGACTGCAATATGAACCTTACTGTATGTATTCCATTATAAAGCATACATACTGTATTTATGAAACAGTAGTTATAGATGAAAAGCTGAGAAAAAATTAATATTTCGCGAGGGAGAGGCATCAAGAAGCACAACACTGTCACTATGAGGTGCAATGGTGCAATCTTGCATTTTTACATTTTCCCACCCCTCCACCCTTGCCTGCAAGACAAGACATGGTTCAAAACTATCACAACACTGTTATGAATAAATTAAATTACTGTGATACACAAGAAATCAGCACAAGCTGCAAGAAAATGCGTGGGAATGTAATTCAATGTATCCTGGGTCCTTAGACACAAAAAGGAGACTTCACATGCAAATTTGCATATGAAAACCTGAAAGCAATAATTTAGATCAAACACAATTTTGTGCATGAAAACCCCAAGAGTACTAAGATGGTAATGTGTCCCACCTTCCAGATAATTGCCCACCCATTTAAGTTGATGATTTTTTTATTTACAGGATAGTCCTTTGTGATAATAAAACTTTAGATAGGAAAAATGTTTTATAAATAAACATACAAATCACAGTACAGTACAATACTGTAATGCATTCCTCTTTGACAGTTCTTCACACTGACAGTCCACTGTTAAATAATGTAAGCCCATTATAGAGCTGCACTGTACACTGTGTCCATAAATTTTCCGACTCATTTCCAAACTTAATAACCTTTAGTATATTGCAGATGGAACATGCTGGTTTCAATATACACTATATGAGAAAGAACTAAAGCTTTTTCTTATATTAGTTGATTTCCACAAGTGCACCCCTTGTTGTTTGAGGTAGCTTGAAGTTACTAAGTTTTAAAATGGGTCAGATAATCTATGGTCACTATGTACTGTATATCAATACAGGTACTGTACTGTGCAACAGACAGAATCCTCCTCATACATTATGGAAAATTTTCGGTAAACTCTCCATGTTGTCTGTATCTTCATAATAGTGAAACAATTGTCTTTTGCCATCATTTATATAGCTACTGAAAATAATGATAACTGTCATAATAACTACAGTACAGTATAAACAATGAAGAAAATGAGGAAAGAAGACAAAAAAGGTAAATGTGTGGGAAAATAGTAGAGAACAGTATAAGGGATGATGTGTGTTATATACTGCATTAGCATAGATGTATATTTCTCTCCATTAAAGTAAGCGTATGATCTTCAGTGAGTGAGTGTCTAACTCAGTTCTTACATTTCTCATTGCCTCGTATTTAATTAAGTTTCCAAAGAGCTTTTAATTATTATCATTTCTTATAATTCAGGATTCAAGAGCAACTGTTTCTGTTATGTGATACCCAAAATCAACTTATATTTTCATATTTTCTTATAAAATGTCACATTGCTGCTGCACCAGCATTAAGTTTGCTAATTGTTATACGTACAGTAGGACCGCTGATATTTGGAAGTCGAAGTTGTAAAATTTGGATGATTTCTGCCATTTACTTTAAATCTCAAAACTCAGAAAATACCCCCAAATTGGAAAATTTCTTTGTTAGTAAATCCAATGTAATGTACCATACTCTTAATTTTCCTTTTGTTTATTTATTTATTTTTTAAATTATCAGTACTTGTGTCAGTTATAGTATAATGTATTTATATGCTGCATTTCTTTATTTTAAGTTAGTAAGTTTCTCTGTAACACTGTATAGTACTTATATACTGTACATTGTTACACTGTAGTAAACATCATTTCTGTTGGTTTATTCTATAATTCAGAAAGGGCCGATCAATCACAATCAGTTTGAATTTTAGAGGTTCCACTATATTAAACCTGCAATGGCACACGATGACTTATGTATTAAGATGTATTAAGAGAAGTTCTTCATTGGTTGACTATACAGAACATAATCAATGATTTACAACTCAGAGATATATAATTACTGTACTGTACTGTATTTTGGGATATTTCTAATTACTATTAAACTGGGATATTGTAGGATTAGATGCACATCCTGGGCATGAGTGAACTGTTTCGTGGAGGAAGATATCACAGTTGAAGCAAAACACTTGTTTGCACGTTCTACACACATACACCTGCCGAAGAAATATTTATTTTAAAGTTCATTTTGCAAGAAATGATATAGCTGAAAAATAAAGAGATAAGTTTTCTTGTTAACTGATGTATTTTCACAAATATTTTTAAATATGGAACCTTTGCCTTTGTTTAACTTATTTTGTAATTAACTAAACTATATGCTGATACTGAACTGTAATTGATGATAGCTGGAGGCATTATTAACCCAAAACTTACAAGATAAATGGGTAAAACTAGAGAGCAGTGTATGGGATGTTTACTCCATTATTTACAGCTGACAAAATACTCCTGGTTAGTGATTCTGAATGACTGTCAGTAAAGGCAGCAGCTCCCTAAACTTCCCTCAGCCACTTCTGACCCTTGCAACCGAGCAGGCTTCAGCATCCCTACCGGCACTGATCATGTCACCCAGGTAACAAAACTCATCAACACAGTCCAAAAACATATCCCAATGTTAAGTTTCCAAGTTTCTCAACTTAAAAAAAAAAAAAAAAATCCTTGTGATCACTTAGGTTTCATCAAATGAAAGTTACTACTGTTTGTGATATAAAAAATAATAATAATAAGCTGTTGGAACCAAATCAAATTCCCAAGACAATAGTAAACATCCACTCCTGAGTGACATTTAAAGTATCTGACCACATTTAAAAATTATTAATATAAAAAAGTTTATATGGTATACAGACCATGCCAGTTTTATTATATTGTACTGTACAGTACTTGATGAACTAGTCATACCAGGTAATCTTTTATTTTATCATTTCACCACTTATCAGTTTATTAGCAATTTGGGTGGTTGGTCTGTTCTTTATTACTTTATGACCTTTATTGTCCAGTGTTAGTACGGGAGGAAAATGGATTACCAAGAGAAACATGTGATGTCTGATAAGGACGCACTGGATAACACTCTTCTCATTTCTGACCCAGCCCAGGCATTAGAGCTAGAAATCTTAGTAAATTTCCGTACATGCACAATGTTCTATAAATAATATTTTGGGGATTATTTATTTTTAAATGGATCAGATAATTTATGAACACCCTGTATAAACAGTCAAATATCTGGAGAGATGATACTTCTCACACTAATAAACATACAGAAAAAACTGTTCTGTACACAGATGACTAATGTAAAAACAGTCTAGAGACTCATGCTCTAAAAACATGAACACAGAACTAATCCTCTCAATTTTCAAGTAGAGAGGTTAAAAAGAAGCAAAGAAACAGACGGAGTCTGCCTTGGAAACTTGGGCCATCAGTACCGGTATACAAAGAGAGAATACCATAAGTCAGGAAGAAGAGGGAAAATGGTGTTGTAATGTTTATGGTATACAGAAGTGTGTGAGTGTGAGAGAGTGAGAGGAAATTACTGTTGTAATCATAAAGATAAACAGTTCCATTAATGAAAATATGGTTATAACCCCCCCCCCCCAAAAAAAAAGGATCTAGTGTTGTCCCTCACCAATAATGATAATATACTGTATAAGCATTCCTGAAGAATCATTACACAAGGAAAAATGACATTTGCAAACTACAGTTTTGTTTCAATGGAAAATAAGGGGATGGTCACATACATACATACATACTGTACATATAAATACAAACAGTAAGACATTGCACTCTAGATAAATTAGTGTATTTAATGCTATATTGACACTACAGTATTGTTTATGTGCATAAAAAAAAAATTAGTTCACTGAACTTAATTCCATTATCCTACAGCAGGTTGACTAAGTACTGTAGGTTATGTCAGCACACATGAATCAAGGATGAACATAACAGCAGGGCTACTAAATACAGATTTTAATACTGTACAATACTGCATTACTATATTGTAATAAAAATGTGCTAGAAGGGATATATGTACAGGTATTAGTGTTAGTGTCTACAATGGGTATAACACTTGGGTTACAAAATAGGTCATATACTACATTTATATCTACATAGTGAACCCTCACTTTACGCGGTTAATTGAACCCACGGCGGCCCGCGTAAAGTGAGAAACGCGTAAAGTGAACAACATAACATATGGGATTAATTGAAATAGACCGGGCCGACCCCCAAACTCCACTTTTTCAGACACAATACCTACGTTGTAGTAAAAATAACTTCTTAATTTTATGATGGTATGCACACACAATTAATAATTAAGAGAAATATCAATAATATTAGGTTTTTAACACTTACATTAGTAGAAAAGATGGCTGACACACGGGGATGGGGGTTGGTTCCGAGGCAGAGGGCAGATTATTGGCCCTCACCTGTATCACAACATCATTGTATCACTATCCACCACAGAGGCTTGCAGGGCCTCTTTGTCAAACCCCCTCAAAGTCCATATAAGTCCATATCCTCACTATCATTATCACTATCACTGACTTGGGCCGGCTGTGGTGGGTGGCGGGTGAAGAACTCGGTAATGTTTTGATGACTGGGCGGCCTTGTGCGCACCCTGCTCGCGCCGCTCTCTGCGTAAAAGGGTACACACACCGCGGAAAGTGAGCATTCCGGTTTCGGCAGGGTACCGCGTAAACGTGGAAACGCGTAAAGTGGGACCGCGTAAAGCGAGGGTTGACTGCATATTAATATCTGGTGGGTTTGTATTGAACAAAAATAATTAATGTTTTTTTTCTCATAAAGGGTGTACACCTGTTTGTCTATACCACAAGTCCATGTTGAACCATGTTAAGGAGTAGCAAACCAAGATACTGTATGTAACTTTTCAGCCAAGTTATTAACTCCCTTGGATATGAGGAGTTTTTCTGTGCTGAGTAAAATCATCTGGTATTAGTCAAATGCAATAAGATATTAAAAGTAGCATCCAGTAGTGAAAGGGTTAAGGTTAAAATTAACAGTTCTTAAGTACTGTAGAATTCTAATGTAAGATAAGATTAGCCATCACCAAGGAGACTTTGCATTCATTATATAATTATCAGTATATTCTTATGTTGAAGTGTAAGACCAACAACCATTTATGATATGCATTGCAAGGGGAAACTCACAAGCAAAATATAAAAGAGTTAATGATATGAGGTAATACAGGTAGATGAGATATATGAGCAACTAATGTAACATGTGATCACTAAGTTCTTGTCCACTACAGTACCTTCTCATGACTAATGCTGCACTACCATAAGATTGCTGTTACCACCATGGAGTGGGATGTGGAAACAAACATAATGCCTCTTTGACCACATCAGTATGGGGTGAAAGTCATGTACAGTATACAGTCCTAGTGGGATTAAGAAATTGCTTTAATCTAAAATCTGAATACAAAACTTACTCTTTTATCAGCAGTGCATCCAGTGAACTGCTTCAGACAACCATAACAATGCTTAGTTGAGATCTCCTCTGCCACTATCTCATCGAAGTGCTTCAGTGGGAAGAGATGCCTGTTGAACACAGAAAATACTGTACCCCTGTACTGTACTGTACTTTGGTTCTTAGAATTTGTGGATCCCAACTGAAAATATTGTACAGTATAGTAATCTCCCCATTAGCCACATTAATTGGTGCAGAGAGGCTCCAGGATTGAGAAATTTCTGGGCCTGGAGAAATTTTTTTTCATCCTTAGAATTTTTCCGGGTACTTTACAGTACTACTGGGGAATGTTTTCCGAGTCTAAACTACAGTACACATCTCAAGTAGACAGACACAGAGCTGTATTTGTTTATACAAACACTTCTGTACACATACAATATATTGTAAATTAACAAAATATACTACTGTATACATTATATGCTGTACTCATATGATGATACAGTGACCCCTCGTTTAACGAACACCTCGGCTAACGTAATTTCGATTAACGAACTGCCTTCCATAAGGATCTTCAATTCGGTTAACGAAGTTCTTACGAACCGACCTCAACATGTTTTCGCTTGCACTGACCGGGCAACCAGCTTTAGTATCAGTCCGCCAATACATTAATCGGTTCTAGGGCTTAAATTACTTACTATTTTAGTAAATATTAAGAAGTTTATACTATTCAATAATTTCAAAAGTTTAATATTAAATTTTTTAGTCATTTTAACAATTATTGAACATAATTGAAGGTAAAGTGACTAGTTTAATGCGCGGCATCCAGCCTCTTAGCACAGCAAACAGGAGTTGGTCTCTCTCTGTTTTCACTGGAGGTAACATCTTGCTTGAGACTCTCTTCAACTAAATGCTTTTTTTCTGTGTTTCCAAGCAAATTATTGGTCATTTTGAAATATATTTTACATATTGACAATATATAATGCAGTGCAGTGTTGATTTAAAGAAAATAATCTTGAAGTACACCAGAAAGCTAAAATTTTATGGGTGAAATGGCGCCATGGGGTGACTTCTCTTCCACCCCAATGCCTTCTCTTCTTCCTTCTCCTCCACCCCCATTCTAAATCCCATCATCATCATCATCATCCAAGAGCCTTCTACATACACACCTCAAAGTAAGTAAACTTTTCTACCATTTTTGTTGAATTTAAGAAATTTTCGGTGAGCTGGAACCAATTACCCAAAAACCCATTGAAACAATGGTTTCGGTTAACGAACAACCTTCTGGAACGGATTGAGTTCGTTAACGGAGGGTCATCAGTATAGATGGTTTGTTGTACTGGGTAAATTATCTATCTCTTCTTATGTCATCCTTTTCCTCTTCCCTCTCCTGTCCTTACGGTATTCACAGGACCTGATGACACCAGCTGCTATTTCCTCCTGGGTGAGAACACCATAGCCAGGCTTCCACCTGCAACCACTCGCCCACATCCTCCTCGGTCACAGCAGTGTCACCACTGTGACGGAAAAGAGTGTGGGCCTCTTCCACTTTGAAGCCCTTGAAGTCTGCGCTCTCCTGCAGTAAAAGAGCTTTTGCAGCAGTACCACCACCATCAATCAGGAGCTTCTTCCACACATTCCTCAGTGTTGTCTCCGTGATCTTGTCCCAGGCTGCCTTGAAGTTGAACACTGCATCCCGGATGTTGTAATCCTTGATGTTCTTCAGAGTGTCTTTTTCCCCCTCTGACACTGGTTCCACCACCAAAACAACATTCAAGAAGAAGTACCTGTAGTGATGTTTACAGGCCACAATGATGCCCTGGTCCATGGACTGTATGAATGAGGTGGTGTTCGGCGGCAAAAACTTCACTCTGATGCACCCATCAGCACTTTTTAAGGATGCCAAGGATGAGCAAGGCTCAAGTTACCCAAGCAGCTAACCCACCCACGCAAGTGGCACGTGGGGACACGTTGGAGCATGATGCAATCTCTTGGAACTCCTCGAAATTTTGTTCCCATGCCCAGAAAGGATTTTTTTTTTTAAATCTCGGAATGCGCATGAAGCAATCCTCAGAAATACGTTCCCATGCCCAGAATGGAGAGATTTTCCCCATAATTTTTCGGAATGCTCAATTTTTTCCTAGGCTATTGGAGAGTGCGGGGATTGAAGATTCCGGTTAACTGAAAGATTACTGGACAGTACTTATAAGCTATAAGTCTACAGGTGTTCTACATAAATGAAATTAAATAGGGTAGGGTTAGGGTCAAGTTTGGATTAGATATAAGATAAATTATTGATCAATTAAGGGTGTTAGGGTTATGAAATAAGAGAATTTGCAAAACATTAAATGAATAAATTCTCTTATTCACTAATCCAAACTAACCCTACCGGTTTAGTTCCAATATGAAACACCCTGTACTTCTTTTACTGAATGTATTAAGGCTAACACACTGACAAAGCAGTTGTTTGTTTAGGAGAGATAAGCATCACACTCTATAATATTATGAAAAAATCTTATTCACTTCTTCCTACTACACAGAATATTATGAAACTCTTCATTCTTTTTTATCTACAGTATAGTAATGAAACTTCTTAAATTTCTTTTGTGAATTCTGACAACACCATTCATTCTTAGCAATACTTTATCTAAAATTATTTTCTTCTATTTCTGTGCTTCTGCTCTATCCACAAACATCTACAAAATTAATGACTGAATTTACTACTTATGGACTACTGACAACACTTCAGCTGCCAGGCATTCATATGACCCTGAAAATTTGGAGCATCTTAAATCCATGACGACACTTGGTATACACCCTACAAGTCTCAGCTATTACAAAACCCAACAAGTCTTAACTGCTACAAATGACAGAAGAAGGAACTCGTCCTACCTGTATGATCGGGCAAGATGTGGTGCCGTCACTAACATGAGACCACACACACGGCACTCAGCAGGAAGGTCACAGTATTTAGCTGTACACTGGGGGCAATAATAGCCACGAGTGTTAAGAAGAGGGAGATCATCCAGGTGGCTGAAACAAAATCTTAAAGTGTTAGCCAAATGGATACATTTTCAAATAGCGTTTAACCCCTTGTGTATGGGGTCCCCTCTCTGCTGAATAAAACTGTCTGGCATTAGCCATATAAAATATTGAAAGTGGTGTCCCCGTAGTGAAGGGGTTGAATGTATTAAGAACTATATCCATTATCTATAAACAAGCCATACAGCTTTCCCTACATGGGTAGAATGATGCACTTTGGTGTGTCTTTTGACTAATCCAGAGTTTAAATTTGATATATTTTTTTATGCATTTTTAAGATAATAAATTTGTTTTACAGTGTACCTCTTGTATCTTGGGGGAGAAGACTTATTGAACAACTCTTTAAAAAAAAAAAAAAAATTGATATTTTTATTTACTTTTCATTTTTATCTGGCAACTGCTCTGATTTACCTTTTCAACATTACAGTAATTAACAAAAATAATACCCAATAAACTTTTAACCCTAAACCAAAAACTAAGGATTTCCTTTTCTGCTCATATGTGTAAAAATTAAACTCAAGGGACATGAAATGTTCACTGATGATGACTGCCATCCTTATACAGGTAATCAATTTGCAGTTATGATGGCTGCTGTCTCCACTTTCTTACTTCCAGTTATGAGGCTGCTTACTAAGGGTCAATAATTCATTTACCAACTAGAAGTAAATGCATCAATGGTCTTACTTACCACATGCATAAAGCAGGTTTAGCATCAGCATTAATCTGATGTGGAAAGCCAACTTTTATGAGCGTGTGATCCATTTTTACAGATGCAGGCGGAGGTTCTAAGTGTTCATGGATCAACTCCTTCAGGTGGAGGTCATTAATACTGACTGAGAAGGAGCCTCCAGTGTCTTTGCTGATTTCTTTGCACACATGAAGCTCAGCCGCAAGACCCACCACTGACACACGAATATTTGCGTCCTTCACTTTCTGGCAGAGAAATTATTGCACATGTAATGTATATTACAGTACATGAATTTGAATAGGACAAAGAGATACAACATGTTACCTGTATTTACATGAAACCATTAAATCTACTTGGACCAGAAATAAAAATTGTCCATAAAGTATCTGACACATTTCAAAACTTAATAGTATAAAATACATGGGTAGGAGGAAAGATGCTGGAGGCAGTGATGATGATTAATGAAAGTTTGAAGTGCCAAAGAGAGAAGTGTGAGTGGATATGCAAGGATAAGAGTATATAACAATAGGGCGGTGTAATGATAGGGTGGTATTAGGAGAGGGCTGTTAGGATTGGGCTGTGCAAGGATAAGCATGTGTAAGGATAAGGTTGTGTAATGATAAGGTTATATTTGGATAGGGTTGCAGAAGAAAAAGGTTAGGTAAGGATAGGACTGTGTAAAGGATAAAGTTGTTTAAGGATATGCAAAGAGAGAATGATGTAAGGATAGGGTTGTGCTAGGATAAAGTTATGTAAAGATAGGGTTGTGCTAGGATAAGGTTATGTAAAGATAGGGTTGTGCAAGGATAAGGTTATGTAAAGATAAGGTTGTGCTAGGATAAGGTTATGTAAAGATAAGGTTGTGCAAGGATAAGGTTATGTAACGATAGGGTTGTGTAATGGATAAGATGGTGTAAGGATAGGGCTGTGGGATATACAGTATGTTTCTCCAAACACATCTGGATTTTTGTTTATTGATAAGTTTGGGGGTTCAAAGTTTGTATAACATGGATTTATTTACAGTATCATACCAACAGGTTCAAGTATAGACACTGAGTATGTACTATATTTTCCAGAGCCTGATTAAATATTTTTTCAATGGTTTTCCCAAATCCTGCTTATATTAAACATTTGAAGAACTGATATAATACACATAACATTTGTTTGATGTTCCTCAATATATTATAGATAAAACCCACATACAGTACCTGTAGTGTGGCTGCAATTTCCCCTGGGTCACAGGTAGTCAGAGCTGCAAAGATAATGAGGATCTCTCTTGAGGTATGTGGTGGAAGGTGGCGGAGAGAGGATAGTGCTACTTCCAGAGAGTTCTGTAGTGATGGTTCTCCTCTGGCAGGCAACTCCCGTAGCTTCTTGATACACTGCAGATAACACAGCACATAATGTAGTAGGAGACTTAATGTGGGCTGACATAATATGAAAATATTGTAATTTTTTTTAGAATTATAGCCTCTAATATCTACCCTTAAACTGTGACTACAAGAAAACCTGGTGACCACTATGTAAAAAATTAAAAAAAAAAAAAAAAAAAAATCTGGCAGAAATCAACTCAGTATGGTCAAAACCTATGTAAAACAAAATTTTACCTGCTGAGTATTGCAAATCCAGTACAGGGGTCTCTTAGGTGTGGCTTTAGCCCATCACCATGGGAACACCTCTCCGCTGTTAGCCCTTCCCGTCATAGTACTGCACTGTACTTATTGCACTGTTGCCACATCATTCGCCTTCTTTGTATTGTATATTCTACTCTCGGCAGCACTGTATGTACAGTAAAATTTTTAGCGCACAACACATTTCGGTATATTGCAGTGATCACAGCAACACTCGTTATATACAGTTGCCTCCAGGTGTGATATTACCCCCTACCATGCCATCCTTACTCAAGTGGTAGCGTCGCACTACTCATGGGGCTAGGGAACTGATTGATAGGGCTGTTCCTTAGTAGAGTAAAGTAGAATCCCAGTTATCCGGCACCTATGGTGATTAAAAGGTGCCGGATAAAGTGATTTTCAGGATACAGTCAACCCTCGCTTTACGCGGTCCCACTTTACGCGTTTCCACGTTTACGCAGTACCCTGCCGAACACGGAATGCTCACTTTCCACGGTGCGTGTACCCCTTTATGCGGAGAGCGGCTGGCGGTCCTCTCGCGCCGCGCCATTTTTGGATCCAAACCTCCCGCCATCTCTCCTGCCATCCGCCATGTTGTGTAAGCGGAGCGAGTAGGTTGCGCAGTGTATGTCTTTATTGCATTATCGGTGACGTCATATGACGTAGCGGACTGTGATTGGGCAAAGAATCCTTACCTCCCTCCCTGCTAGCTGTGATTGGTTTAATGTAGTACTATGACGTGCCCCGCCGCGGGTGCGTTCAAGCCCCTTGACCTACCGCGTCAGTTACACCCCTCCTGGCTACACCGTCTATATCGGTATCCATTGTTCCATAAGAATGGCTTCCACTGGACCACCACCACCACCACAAAGAAACCTTGCATTACCTGGACCCAGCCCCCCTAAGCCAAAGAAGACACGACGTTCCTTAAGCTACGAAATAAAATATAAGATCATACAAGAGTTGGAGAAAGGAACAAGACAGGTTGATCTCGTGAGCCAGCATGGTGTTAACGAGTCTACGATCAGGACATTTAAGAAGGATGCAGCCAAGATAAAGGAGCACATGAACATCACAAAGTCTACAGGTGCTTCTATGATCAAGTATTTCCACAACCAGGTGCTTCTCAAGACGGAAAAATTACTTGTGAGCTACTTGGTGCGTCAGGCGCGATGGAACATGACGGTGGACACGCGCTCAGTTAAGGAGTACGCACGTGAACTGTATGCTGCAGTGTCACGAAAGATGGGAATTACAGAGCCCAAACCCTTTAATGCTTCCTCTGGGTGGTTACAGAGGTTTAAGAAGAGTAACAAGATCACCAATATCAACAATGGTGGTGAAGAAGCTAGTGCTGACCGTGTTGTGGCTAGGGAATTTCCTCCGTTTTTACGTGAGATTATGGAGGAAGGACAGTACACTGACGACCAGGTGTTTAACATGGACGAATCTGGTCTTTTTTGGAAAAAGCTACCTTCCAAGACCTTCGTTGTGAAGAATGCCAGCAAGTGTCGGGGCCGGAAGTTGCAGAAGGAGCGCATCACCGTCCTGTTTACCACCAATGCCTCCGGTACCTGTAAGCTCAAGTTATCGGTGATCCACACAGCACACAAGCTGCACGCCTACAAGAGCATGGACATGACCAAGCTATATGTCCACTGGCTGACCGCAGATAAGGTGTGGATGTTCTCTACACTGTCCCTCTCCTGGTTTGATGACTGTTTCGTTCCCGATGTGAAGAAATTCTGTGAGCAACAGAATGTGCCATTCAAGATTTTGTTGCTGCTTGACAACGCACCAGGACACTCGCCCCTACTGTTAGATCGTCACCCCAACGTAAAAGTGGTCTTCCTTCCTCCCAACACTACGTCTATAATACAGCCCATGGACCAAGAATTGATTTGTAATGTAAAAGTTGCATTCTCTGCTAAAAAATTCAACCTCCTGAACGACTACACCAACACCAAGAAAGAGTTGCGTAACCTGAGTGACACCAACACCGATAGCAAGAGCGAAGACGACGAGGATCAACAGTTGGCAGAGCAAGAAGTACTTTTGAAACAATTCTGGAGAACATTCAACGTCAAGAAAGCTGTGGACTTCTTGGTGGAGGCATGGGATCAGCTGTCTGTAGCAACTGTTCGTCACGCATGGAGACATGTGTTGCAAGGCATTCCGGGTGTTAGGCAGAGTAAATCTGTGACTGGTGAGGTTCAGACTGTTGCAGTAGCAGTGGACCTTGCCAGAGAAGCTGCGCAGAGTGTTACAGCCGCAGGCTTCTCTGAGACCACCAACGACGACATCCTGGATGTGATAAGGGATCCTGATGTGACTACCGACGAGATGGTAGATGATGATGACGTTAGTGAAGAGGCAGGTGGTGTGTCATCCCAAGAAGAACGCCGCTTATCCCATAGTAATGCAAGGGGTGCCATTGAGTGCATTGAGAAAGTCAAGCTCCTCCTTTCCAACGATCCTGACGCAAATAGGAATGAAATCTTCACTACCCAGCTGTTGCAGACTATGGAGCCCTTCATCAAGGTTTATCACGACAACATAAACACCAGCCGTCAGCAAAGCATAACAGAGTTCTTCGCCCGCAACCCACCACAGCCAGCCCAAGCCAGTGATAGTGACAGAGGCAGAGACAGTGATGATGACTTTGAGGGATTTGTCAGGGAGGCCCTGACAAGTGTGGATGACAGTACTTTGGGAAGTGAAGGAAGTAGACATTACAGCAGTGTGGTCATGTTGCCTCTTTGTATATTCAGTGTGCTGTACCCACACTGTTACTTTCAGGACCATAGGACCCATGCCCTATAATAAAAGTCAACATTGGTTAAATTTTCATCTTTAAACCCTTACAAAATTATGTATGTATTGAGGTCTTTTAAATCAGAGAAAGTAAAAACTTACATCAAGATGCCTTTGTGGGTTATTACTTAGTTCACTGTGTCTCTTGGCCACCTTGTTCTGAGTGGTAATTATTCCCAGCTGACTGATCGGGTTCTGGTCATGAAACTCTTGGATAAAATCTTCAAGAATCTAAGAAAAAGAAAAATCATATGAGAGACTTTCTCTATTGTAACACACCATGCTGGAAAAAAAGACCTGGGTTAAGGAGGAAATACCTTTTAAACATGAACTATATATTGCTTAACACTCTTGAGCACCATTACACGCATTACACCATTACACGCATAGGCACAAATGCCCCGACACACCATTCACGAGAAAAAATTCATGAAAAATCGAGTAATTCTGTTTGAAGTTTGAGATTTTGGCGCATCATTCCTGTAGGCCTCCTGTCTCATGGTAATCCATCACTAATTAGCTACATGGCAACTGTCCATAGAACGATGCCATAAAATGTTAGTGTTACCCTAGCAGTCAAGCTAAAAGGTGGAGTGAATGAGCCCCTTTAAAAATATATCTTGCTCTCCACTCCATGCACTTGAGCTATCTATAGTGCAGTAATATTCACCTGTAAAGTGTTTGTAAGTGGTTATAAAGAATTCATTTATTTATTATTTACGATATTTTTCTTACAGTATAAAAATTTGTAACTCATGGGTGTAAATTGTGTAATAATGCCCTTCTGTGGTGACTATAAATATCTGAGCTATCTTTTTTTTTTTTACAGGGAATAGCCCACCCGGGCACAGGTCATCGACCCACAACTGGACCTGGGAGGCAAAAAAATAAGAGTAAAAAGAAATTAAAAAAAAAGAAAGAAAAAGATTACATTAATCTACACCATGAAGATGCCGGAAAACCAGCTTATTGAAGTGAGACAGATTGTAGAAGTATGGAAATACAGAAAAAGGTAGGGCATTCCACAATTTGGCTGTGTGAGGAAAGAAGGATGTACTATTACGGGTTATTCTAGTCTGACCGACATACACAAAAAATGGTGGGCACCGCACGCAAGACGAGTGTTACGAGCCCACAGCCTTGCCGGCGGTACACAGGATGCCAAGTCCAATGAACATTGCCCGTTAAAGTACCTGTAAAAGAGAGAGAGTGATGCAACATTGTGGCAAAGAGAAAAGGAAGAAAGATTATCAACTGAAGGAAGAGAGATAATAAGACGAAATGCCTTTGATTCCACCCTACCTAACAGGTGGACAGAAGAAGAGCCACCCAGATATGAGAGCAGTACGTACTCCAAATTAGGACGAATGAATTCCTTATAAACTTGAAGCAATTGCTCAGGAATGAAGTAGCTATGGCATCTGTACAGCATTCCCAGATTTTGGGAGGCAGCTTTAGCAATGTTGAGGATGTGTGGCTTTCATGACATATTAGAAGAAATGGTGAGGCCTAACATGTCTATTTTAGAATTTGGCAGAATGATTGCATCCTGAAAAAGTGACAAAAAGTATTGAAGCATTTTATAAGTGTCTATTAGAGTGTTTATTAGTAGTTTACTTCAAGATATTTCACTTGTTCAAACATTTAAGCATCATGTGTGAATTGCGTAACAACATCCCTTCTGTGGATACGATAAACATCTGAGCATCTACCATCACACTGAAAGGCAAAATTGTTTTAAAATATAGTTTTATAATACAGTATTAAAAAGTATGTATATATATATATATATATATATATATATATATATATATATATATATATATATATATATATATATATATATATATATATATATATATATATATATATATATACATATATATATATATATATATATATATATATATATATATATATATATATATATATATATATATATATATATATATATATATATATATATGGCAAAAGCTACTAGAAAAAAATAGAGTGAACAATTTTCCAGCCTTATTATTTCTCATATTGATTATTTCTTTCACTAATATAAAGCGAAAGATGTTTGATTTTTGTTATCCTTACTATACTTGGGTGTTTGTTGGCTAAAATACAAGTTGATTGTATTGAAAACTGTAATGCATGACTTAACATTGTAAAAAAAAAATAGATTTTCACTTTTTTCTTGTTTCATGTGAATGAGCAATTAACAGAACATAGAATGTAATTGGTTTTATAAGAAAAAATGGTTCAATTGCTGAAAAATATATCCAAAGACCTTAAATGACAGTCACCATCAGTGGAAGTAAAGCTGGAGGGATGGTGGCCATCATTTATGGAAGTTTCGCTTGTTCTTTTTAATTGGTGAAAAGTGCAACACAATTTAAAGCAGTGTGAGTTTTTACTGTCATCACTTTCTTATAAATATCAGACATGAGTGTAATACTGTGAATATATGTCCCGCCTCAGTTTTTAAGTTCCCCTTGTACAGTACTGTACTGGTGAGTTATTAAAGTGTTGGTAATACAGTGCTAAAGTATTCTGAATGACTACACTAATCATGTTATTTCACTTCTCTATTTAATTGAACTCTGCCTCACAAACACACACAAACACAATGATAGTGTTCATTTTGTTAATCAGTTTAATTTTTTGTATGAATTAACAAAGAGGAAAATGGGAAAATACAAATACTGTATCACATTTATACCTTCAGAGTGCAGATCTGTCGTGTGGGCTTCAGGTCCTGTTCTGACATTGCTTGAGAGAGGTCGAGGATGATATACACATGACGCATTATTCCCAGCCTCACACTGGCCTCACGATCTAACAGTCTCCGTCGTTTTGCTCTCTGGATCATCTCAGTCACCGATGGCTCCAGCCGACCAGATTCGTCTTCTTGTATTGCTTCCCTGTATAGTGAGGAACGTTATTAAAATTTCTACATCATAACACAGTAATTTCTGGGGAGACTTATTTATTAAAGCTAGGTACAGTAACATCATGTTATTTATTAAAGCTAGGTACAGTAACATCATGTCATTTTATTTGTAAAATTTAAACTAAGTTCTCTTTTTATTATACATGCATATACAGTGTATTACTATTTCTCACACCCCGACCTGGTCTTGCTCGGGCACTTGGTCTAATAAATTAAACAGAAAACCAGTAAAAAAAAGCGAATACCTCAAGAGTGGACAGAGAAAGAGAAAATAAATATCTATCCTGGAGTGATAACTCACCAGTGTAATGACTCCTAAATCTGTTTTATTTTTATTTAAAAAAAAGACATAGTTTTCTGTAATTTATTATTTCACTCCATATTAGTTTACTAGCAGTTTAAAATGTTAGTCTGTTCTTTATTACTTTGCTATGACCTTCATTGACCAGTGTTACTATTGTACAGGAAGAAACCAGAGTACCCGGAGGAAATGATTGGTATGGTTATATAGTGGATAACACCTTTCTCACATCTGACCCAGGCTGGTGACTGAACTCTTCACACAATGTTGAGAGGTATGTATAACCACTGTATCACCATTACACCCATAACATGATTAAGACACAACTTTAAAAAAAAATTTGTGTGTGTGTGCGTGTGTGTGTGTGTGTGTGTGTGTGTGTGGATACAGCACTCTGTAAACTAAGCCTTCCGTGCACAAGTGGCAGTGGAGCCATCACTACACTCAACTGTCTTCACCTCCCCAATCATATATTCAGGAACTCATTTACAGCCAAGTGAACTGGGAGTATCTTAAACTCAAACTGGTGACCCATAGAGCTGGAGGCGAGTGCTGTAGCAATACATTACTACAATCTGGCTATCATCCCAGAATTACATACAGTATATGCTAAATTATTAGGTGACACTGTGATTAACGAGGTTGGAGGTTTCACACAGTAGGACAATTGAGGCATTACTGTAGTTCTGATCAGTATTAACTGTAGGTGTATCTTAACTTAATACACCTAATGGGTGGCAAACACCTCAGTAGAGGACACAAGGTCAACTATGACTTAAAGGGACAAGGATCTCAAAAGATTAGGAACTCCAGCTTATTTCACCTAATGATTAAAACACCCTAATGTTAATCTAACCAAATCTAACTCAACATATCCTACCATAACCAAGTCTAACATAACCTAATCTAACTTTGTCCTATTATTTAGCATTAGGGTGCTTATCATCAGGTAAAATATGTGGGATTTCTAATCTTCATAAGATTCAAAGACAATTTCATTTAGCACCACCAAAATATAAGCAATACACACGAAGAGAAGTGTGGGACATCTACTTCCAAGTCTTACCATATACAGTACAGCTGTGTCCCAGCCTATTGAGACACAAGACAATATCATGTCTGCACTGGACAATTAAGGCCAATACAAGGTGCTGTACCAAAGAACAGGCAAAACAACTACACAGTAAACCAATAAGTGGTGGAAATGATAAATTACAAAAAAGTCTGTTAATAATACTGAAACAAGAAGGAAAGTGCTCTTACCATAGTTTTGGATGGACAGACTGTTAGCCACATTCTTATCACTATAATGGGATGAAGAGTGACTGAAGCAGAGGAGGAACAGTAAGACCAGGTAAATATTTAGAATTTGCCAACACTTACTTATATATTGAGTCTTATATGGAGAAGGAGAAATTGAAACTAAAAATAATTTATTTTATAGCATTTTTAGTTTTGTTTTTTCTTTCTCCCTATATAAGACTCAATATATAAGTAGCTGCTAGCAGCTTCTTGATATTAACCTAAGACCACTCTGAGTGGGTGGTCCAGCATCAGGGAGAACAAGACCACACAGGAGGGAAGGTGTTGGTCTGGTGTCATCCCACTTGGACGATCGTCTGTTTTATGTGATTTTTATCCATTTTAGTTACATGATCAGGCAAGGTTAGGTTAGGTTGTTGGGTACGATTAGGTCAAGTCAGCTCAGGTTAGGTTACGTTACGTAAAATTACATAAAACAGACGATTGTCCAAGTGGGATGCAATCCTTGGTCCAGCATCAGGAAAAGCAAGGGTGAAATTTCTGTCATGCACCGGTCTTTCTCTCGCTGTTATTAAATTGTTTTTCGTAATGTTTAGACAATCCTAAGAAAATTTTCTTCTATGGTATTTCCGCCGGAAATTAAGGATAACCGAGATATTAATTTTCGATATTATTAGATTTGGTCAGTCACAAGTGTCGCCATTTGTTGTTTACGTCTCACTGAGAAGGTCTGACCACCCATCACGGTGCTCCTAACCGCTATATTGACTTCTTAAACGTCTAGAGTGCATGTGTGGGGGGTGGTGTGGGAGTTTCCTTTTGGCTACAGCGATAAGAGACTTATAATTGGGCAGGATAGGACTTGTAGCTCCGAGCAGGATAGGACTCGTAGCAACGGACTTAAGTAGGATAAGTTTAGGTTTAAGAAGGAGATAGGAAGGAACTGGTTCACAAATAGGGTGGTGGACGAGTGGAACAAGCTTAGCAACTTTGTAGTAAGTGCTGGAATGCTGGAAAGTTTTAAAAGGAGGCTAAATAGATTCAGTAATGATAGAGTGGTAGTAACTCTTAACAGGAGCTGTCATGCACAGGCCAACCGACCTATTGCAGACTTCTTATTTTCTTAAGAGTTTTTTGTCTTAGCCAATGAACAATGCGTGGGTGAGTTGGGAGCGGAGATTCGATTTTTCAGTAACAGAATAACCAGATGTGGCTGAACAGGTGGAAAGAGCTGTGCCAACATTGTGATAGAGATTATTTTATGTCAATTGCAGAGTTTCATCAGAAAAATAGTGTTAGGTTAGGTTTTCTTTTGCTGGTTGGTATTTTATTTGTGATTTACACACAAAAAAGTTAAGATTGATCGGCAGGGTAGGGGGTATCTCAAAAACTATTGATTTCCGGCTGGATTGAATATCAAATTCGTTGGAACCTCATCAAATAACATCGGAAAGATATAATTTTAATATCCAAACAAAGACCGATGCATAAGTGAAACTTGTTCAAAGCAAGTTTTGGCTGGTCAAAATCATCAGTGTATTAAACCAATATGAGATGGAATCCAGAGGAACTGCTTAACAACAGAGTTCAAGATAACACCAAGAGGGGGTCCGACTAATTACCCAAATGTACCCAAGTGTGGCCGCAATGAAGTCAAATAATGGTCCTACAAGAATAAATCGGACTGCCAATCACTTCTCGACTGGTATTTGGTGGCACGAAGTCACAAAAAATTGGTAAACTTAATTTAATCTGAGTTAATAGATCGAGTGCATGTACCTAACCTAACCTAGCACACCTCAGATTAAATTAAGTTTACCAATTTTCTGTGACTATGAAACCAAATAATAATCGAGAAGTGATTGGCAGTCCGATTTATTCATGTAGGCCCATTATTTGACTTCATTGCGGGTACATTTGGGTAATTAGTCAGACCGCCAAGAGGAGCATTATATGTTGGACTAAAGGGAACATCTAGGCAAGGACCTTAGTGAAAGAATTAGAACCCGTTATAACATATTATCCCATTTTACTTAATTCTATGCCATCTAGTAAGTTACTTTACCATGTTTTCTCGTATCCACTCTCCCAGCGGTACTCCTTAGGGTCATCGTCCTCAAGCATTGTGATCTATTTCTTCTCTTCCTTGTAAGACTAGTACTCCACTTCATAAGCTCCTTCTGAAAAGCAAAAATCACGTAAATTATTTAAACTAATAGGAATTGGGAAGATTTCAATGAACCTTAATATATATGCATTACAAATCCATATTTTACTTGTGCAGGTAATTCGGAGTTTTATCTTTTCGCCTTGCAAATAAAAAACAAAAACCTTTTCAATAGGACGAAAAGGGTAAAGTATAACCTGAGGCCGTATTGGAGTTGATTATTGTTTTATCAGTATTACATTTTTTAAACTTATCTTCAAATCACACAACTAAGAATGAAATGTACAATTTACCCCATAAACATAAATTTAGGGACTTCTTCCATTTGCTGTAATTTGTTTTTGCATTTCAGGAGGCAGCATGGACTTGGTACAGTTGGGTCAAAAGTCTTCAACACTTGACAGTATTTGGCGTGTACACTAAATACCCGAATATCTTAGGTGTTAAGGAGAATTTTATCCCAATTTCTGGTTCAGGCATAATATGTGATGACAAGTAACGTATAACCCAATCATATATGTATAACTCAGACGTAGATGCTGGATATTGCTAAGTATTCAAGACTTTTGACCGCGACTGTACATGAATGATTAATGTTAATAATAGACAACAAATATTTTTTTCTTTCTATCTAGCTATAATGTTGCAGATTCAAAGTGAAGAACTGAAAACGATGCAAATACGTTTGAGTCTTCTGAATACTGCAAGTTAACCAGTGGTGAAGAGGATAAACATATGAGTTTTAGTAAAGGAAGTTTTTTTTTTAAAAGACAACCAAAACCTAACTTAACCCAACCTAACAATTACATTGTAGGTCTTGTTAGGCTAGGACAAATTTAGTAAGTGTGTATAACTTGAAAAATATTTAGTGATGATCTTTGGGGTAATTTTATAACATTAGCCACTTTAACACTTTGACAGAAGAGTTGTCGTGCAATAAGATTATTGTACTGCATTTACATGAATTATACTGTCAAGACTACCACATAATTATAAAATTAATGATATTTATAATTTTATTCATAAAGTAATAAAACTAAGGAATTCTAAATCAGTAAACTACTTAAATACAACAGAAAAATGTTTGTTAATCTAAGGTCAGGTACACCTTGGAATTGCACTAATTTAAAGGTTTGCAGCGGTATTCAAGATAACTGCGGATTTGGGGGGCCATTTCCAGAGTGGTCCAATTGAGAAGACTTGGCCATCTTTAGATATATCCACCAAGGGTTGAGGCTTACCCTAGTGGGAGTTGGTATAGAATCCTGGCAGGTGAGTTGTCTGAACAAATGTACGGAAATATATAAATGAACATTTGAATTCGAACAATACTCCACAGTAGTGTCTAAAATCCTTATAAACCCCTGTCCATTGACTTTACATTTAGTTAAGTTTGAGAGATTCAGATAAAACAAATATCTATATATAGTATAATGGAATCCCGTACGTTACTAATTCTTATTGTACAATATAAAAACACTGCATGTTTACATTTGTAACATTCAAGATAAAATGAAGTAATGATATTGTCTCTTCCTCTTTCTCTGAAACTAATTTTAATGAAAAATAAAACATAATTTTGCATACCTTGACAATGTAAAACCTATGAAGCAAATATGAATGCGACATGATTATTTTAATATCGAGGGAATCATTTATGTTATCAGACATCTGTACATTCACTATGGATACTTTTAGCTTATAATCATGAAATCTAAAGCAATTATTATTAACTCGCATGTATTTAAGATGTAAAAATATAAAACTAGCACATGTATAGTTCTCTAGCAAATTAGCTTTGTTTTGGTGTTGACAGTGAAGCAACAGCAGACATCTTGTGTGACCAGCCTCTCACCTCTCCATATTTCCTGGCATGACACCATATTATCTCCTGACGTAATCGCATCCAGATGTACGGTATGTATGGTGGATATTTAGTAAACAATTATGTTATAAGATGAATGCCATACGAGCTATCATTAAGCACTCAATATTATTTAATTTTCTCGTTATTTAATGTCCAATAGAGACTTTTGGTGAAGTGAAGATTACGACTTTAATAATGAGGGCAGTACAAAAGGTTGAGCACAAGGTCACCAAAGGCATTTTAATAAGTGAATTTTAATATTTGTACATATAATTATATAATTACATAATGCACAACAGCTTATGATAATGACAGATTCTAAACTTACCTTCACCATGACGTTGATCATTCATTAGTAACTTTTACTTTTCCTTTACACTATCTTGGTGTTTGTTTGTGTGTCTGATCAACATATTACTTACTTAGATATGTGTGTGCTGTGACCAGAATCTATGGAAACTGAATCTTGTGTGGAGTATATTTGGCTTCCTGTATTTTATATGATGAAATTAATTGCTTTTATAATCCTAACCAAATCTAATCTAACCTAACCTAACCTGAGTTAAACTAATTTAATCCTGTCTAAATTAATCTAACAAATGAACCTAACCTTACTAAATCCCATGTACCCTAACAATTTAATCTTACCTAATTTAGTCAAACCTAGCCTGATCTAAATTAATCAAAGCTAATATAATATAACCTAACCAAACCCCCTTCATTTAACATTGGGGGTATTTAATCATCAGATGAAATAAGTGCAATTTTAATAGTACTGTACCGGTCCGACTAATTACCCAAATGTACCCAAATGTAGCAAAATGTAGCCGCAATGAAGTCAAATGATGGTCGTACAAGCGTAAATCGGGCTGTGAATCACTTCTCGATTATTATTTGGTGTCATAAAGTCACAAAAAATTGGTAAACTTAATTTAATCTTGAGTTGTGTTGTGTTAGGTTAGGTTAGGTTAGGTACATGCACTCGATCTATTAACTCAGATTAAATTAAGTTTACCAATTTTTTGTGACTTCGTGACACCAAATACCAGTCGAGAAGTGATTGGCAGTCCGATTTATTCATGTAGGACCATTATTTGACTTCATTGCGGCTACATTTGGGTAATTACTCGCTCCCTCGGTACATGCACGCGATCTATTAACTCAAATTAAATTACGTTTTCCAATTTTTTTTTACTTTGTGACACCAAATACTAGTCGAGAAATGATTGGTAACCCGATTTATTCATGTAGGACCATTATTTGACTTCATTGCGGCTACATTTGGGTAATTAGTCGGACCCGTACTGTACAGGTGTGATGGTACAACTATTGTTCAAACTTGTGATATTATGTATGATTGTATGTATTGTGATATTATGGTGTTGTATGATTGTATGTATTGTGATATTATGGTGTTGTATGATTGTATGTGTTGTGATATTATGGTGTAGTAAGATTGTATGTGTTGTGAGAATTATGGTGTTGTGAGATTGTGTGTGTTGTGAGAATTATGGTGTTGTGAGATTGTATGTGTTGTGAGAATTATGGTGTTGTGAGATTGTATGTGTTGTTATATTGTGTTGGAAGATTATATGGTATTAGTTTCGGTCATCTGGGGAATCTTAGGTATCTAGGGTGGTTAGGTTACATTAAGCTAGGTTGGTTAGATTATATCAGTTGTTTTAAAACTGCCAGTGTTTTAAGGTCTTGGTCATCAGTATTGTACTTCCCAACTCATACCACAATGCTATAAACATTGCATGCATGATATCAAGCATTTTACTGTAACCTTATTAATGTCTTGACTTATGATATATAGTATCCATACAGTAGTTGTGAGTAGCTCATAATAACAGTGATTTATTTACTGTATTTTGGAATATTCAATAAAATGTTTATTAATTATTTATAGAATGCAAATCTGGTGAGAAAGTAAGGAAAATAATAAAAAAAAATTCCTGAGAGGAGGCAACAGGCCATAGACTCTGCACCCTTGATGAATAGACAGATACCATCACTGAACACTTTAATTTTGCAGGGATGAACCATTTATTGATGTAGAGTATACTGTACTGTACTGTACTCAAATTTTGCAGTGCTTAGTGGTTCATTCCTGTTAGAATTAGAAATAGTGTACTGTAGTTAAATGCCATTTTTTTTGTCAGTTTGCTTTAAACATTGAAGGGTAGAGACCACTACTTATTTGCCAATTAAAAAGTAAGTTTAGAGTGTTATTCTTCCTTGTTCCCCACCAGATTTCTGTTCTATGCTTCAAAATGAATACTGTAATTGTTGATGTAAGCATGAAGCTGTCATACATGCTCCAGGGCCAAGATAACAAGACCTGTCAACTTTCCTTACATTAAATGGATATATAGTACTGTACAGGGTGTTCTGTATGCTCCTACTCCACAAACTTCATCTCAGGGAAAATCACAAAGAAATTAAGCTGAATATGTGCCAGATTTCATAATTTTGCAATAAAAAAAAAGTTCAACATTTTCTGGAAGCTTAATCTCTCCTTGTACCCTCTTCAACAGTGTGCAGTATATGTGGCTAACACCCCATTTACAGGTCACCAAAGTGAAGTCTCTGGTACCATAGTGAAACATTTTCGTTCTTTTCTTACCAAAACTGATTTTAAGGAAACATTTGCCACCACAAGGCATATTAGGTTATACTGTATTAGTAGTCTTGTTGGATCTAATGAAGATTTACAGTTCTCTGCTTATTTCACTTGATGGTAAAATACGCTAACCAAACCTAACTTAACTTAGTACTACAGGTATTAGGGTGTTTAATCATCAGATGAAATGAGTGTGTTCCAAATCTTCATGAGGTCCAGTTTGTATATTTGTACATTAGTAAAGATTATGTCTATGATTTGTAATAATTATTAAGTATGCCATTGCCTTGGTTGCAGACAAGATGTCGGTGCTGCAGCAGGTGCTAACTGATGCTCGTAAGTTGGCCACCCGCCTGCGAGACCATGACTCCTCAGCCGACTCCTTGTTGTCCCAGGCTCAGGGAATGTTCAAGCAAGTTGAGAGCATGAAAGAGGTGAGTACCCTTAATAAATAGGGGTGTCTAAAAAAATGTATACACACTGCCTTCCACATTTTCGTAGAGATTGTGTTATTTCTGTTACAACAGCAACATTGTCCTCATTTGTGGGAGACTTTGCACATCAGTGAGTAAGGGCAAAGTTGCTGTTGCAATACAACCATTCACCTGATTGCTACGAAAATCTGTAAGGAAGTGTGTACAATATATATTTTTCTGAGACACACTGTATTCTCTTAGAGTAAAGTACCCCTATTTTGTACAGAGGAGTCGGCACTGTCAATGCTTGTCATGTGTTGGTTCTTTTGCCTCCTCTGACCAGAGATGTTGATTCCTTGTTCTAATTTCTCTTCACTTTCCTTCATCCTCAGATATATAAATATTCAGCATGACATTCATGCCACCATTCTTCAACACAGTATTCTTGAATTTCATGTTCCTTATCTCTGTACATGTATACCCACCAAAAAAGGTATTGCAACCCTTGCCATACTTTACATTCTGGAACACAAGATGAAGTGCTGTGATATATCTGGGTATGATAATGTGTTGGTATACCTGCTCTCCTTACCAGATACTTTCATATTTTAAGAGATATGAGTCATTTAGTGGGTTTCCTTGGTGGTTTCATTTCTGTCTGCCTACCATTTGAGTTGGCTGATTGTTGGAGAATGAATTGGCTACAACACATATAGTATGCCACTTTGGTTTCAATTGCATAATATAAGAGCTGAATTTATAATGAATCCCATGAACTGGCACTCTCATTCATCAGAGATTATATATGGAAGATAGGAAAGTGTCTTCCCTAAGCACAGCATAAAATGTGCTCTCAAACAGTGATTCCATCTATTGAATTTCCAGCACAGTTTAACTACTTATATTGAGACTGGATGCCTTGTATTTCCAGATGCTTATTGTTGCTAGATACTTCAAGATGTCAATTGCTATCTTGTTCAGCCATATTTTTAGATAAAATAATAATATATTGTAGGTGCATTGAATCTCGCAAATATTATTTTAACGCTGTCAGACAACAAACCTTGGCAGAGCATTTGCTTGTTGGTTGACCCAGTCACACGTCGTGGGAGTCTCTTTCCTATCTTTTGTATATAATCTTTGATCATTCATGCTTTAAGATTCTGTGAGTAAGGAGAATATGCTTGGTTATCCATTTAGTATAGAATAAGGCCTTGAATTAAATTGACCCCACAAAAGGGTAGTGGAGATAAACTATATAGTTTTCATTTATTTCAGTCAGCCTTTTTTTCTACATGTTGGTTTTCTTCCATAAATACATACTGTACAGTATTACTGTACAGTATTTGGGAAATGGCAACTGTTCTGTTCAGGTCTCAAACTAACCTTTCCTAATGTATGCCACAAATATTTCCCAAATCATTTGTCATTAAATTACAGTGCTATTAACAGAGCTCTTGACCATTGATTTTAACACAAAGATTAAATTTAGTATTATTTTGTTAGTCTTAATCAAAGAAGAGTACATGATAAAGGATGTTAGGCACTTATAGTCAGAGGTACCAGCCTAATAGGTACATATGTGTCTGAGGTAATTGTTCATTCCGATTTTCAATGGACCCCAGTGGTCCCTCGGTTAACGAACACAATTCGTTCCAGAAGGTCATTCGTTAACCGAAAATTTCGTTAACTGAAACCATTGTTTCAATGGGATTTTGGGTAATTGGTTCCAGCTCACCGAAAATTACATACAAACTAAAAATAAATGCAGTAAAGTACACTTACTTTGAGGTGTGCATGTAGAAGGCTCCTGGTTGATGATGATGATGTTGGGAATTAGAATGGGGGTGGAGGAGAAGGGAGAAGAGAAGGCATTGGGGTGGAAGAGAAGTCACCCCATGCTGCCATCACACCCATAAAATTTTAGTTCACTTGGTGTAATTCAAGATTATTTTCTTTAAATCAACACTGCACTGCATTATATATTGTCAATATGTAAAATAAACTTCAGAATGACCAATAATTGTACTGTAAAAATGTAAAAATAGTTTATGTTCAAGAGAGTCTCAAGCAAGAAGCTTCCTCCACTGAGCAGGGACACACTGACGCCATTTTGGGTGGATTGAGTGGCTGTTTGGCACGCTAAAAACTAGTTCCCTGTACTTCAATTATTTTAAATAATTGTTAAAATGACTAAACTAAGCCCTAAAACCGATTACTGTATTGGCGGACCAATACTATAGCCGGTGAGCAGGCGAAAAGATGTTGGGAAAAATTCGTAAGGAATTAGTTAACCGAAGTGAAGAATCTTATGGAAGGTAATTCGTTAACCGAAATTTCGTTAACCGAAATTTTGTTAACCGAGGCGTTAGTTAACCGAGGGATCACTGTACTGTACTTTTTTTTTTCTGGGTGTACCTTGTAATTTAGGTGCGGTTTTAAGGTTTAATTTTTCCTTGCCATTTATTAAGTGATTTTTTGATGACTTGTGTTCCCTATACAGTACAATGTTTGTTACCTCCCCTTTTTATGTCCTTCCATCTTGCCACTGCAATACTATAAATGTCCCCCTCTCTTACCACGTCTGTTATCAACTCCTATTTTTCCACTTTTGTTTTTATCCCAATCTTGCAATATCTGTTCTTCACCTTCCCTTGCTATCTTGCATCTTCTCTTGTTATCTTTCCCACCTTTGTTACCATCCTTTAATCTGCTACCTTTGTTACTACCTCTGACTTATTATCACTGTTTTCACCCTCTAGTGTGTTATCTTCACATTTACTCTTCAACCAACCACTTTTATTATCACCCTTAAGTTTCATAACTGACAGTCACTATCTATCTGGTCACATGTATGAACTTTTATCTAGTCACCTTCCACCGTCAATCTCCAATTCTGTACTGTATGTCATTATTGTCACTATTCATAGTGTATACTTGTACTGTATTGTATACTACTAAAAATTAGCAGGGTGTTAGATAACCAAGGTAAATATATTTTTAGGGTACCAACTTGGGCATCAAAATAGCCTTTGTCAATCAGAATACCTATAATTTGCACTTTTGAGGTATTGTACTGTACAGGAAATTTACTTATTTGAGTTTGTGTACAAACTCTTGTGACTTAGAATTTTGATTAGGATGCTTGTACGGTAATTATCACTTTATATTAAGATGGCTGTTGAAATAATAGGTAATGAATGTAGTTAGTTGTCTCACAGTTAATTGATATCAGTTTCAGTTATGAACTGTATGCTTTGTTTGAGAAAAGTCAAGCCATTACACATCATCTTTTGAATTGGTGTGAAATCATTACAAGAAGATGGCCAAAGCATATATGCCTGATCATAGCATTTTTTAATGATAACCAAAATGCTTAATTACTGTATTATAATATGACACTCTTAGATACATGTCAAAAGGCACAATACCCTCTCATTAATAAACTTTAATTGAATGATATAATTCTTGTGTTAATGTAGGTGATGTATGATATTCATAAATTAAAGCACTGTCTTGAACACTCGCTGTGGCAATGACAGAGTGCTGTGCATTTCAGGCTACCCTTGGTACATTTACATCTCTGCTGGCAGCCATTTTTACAGCCAAACTTTAGCAGCTCTCAATGGACTTTGCTGGCTTGTGGTAGCAGAGACTGTAGTGGCTGCCATTCACCATTGGTGTTACTTTACCATCCCCACTCACTGGGAGATGCTTCCTTGGGAGCACGGGTGAGTGACTGACCCTGAATGTGACCTCCCTGATCGAGAACCTTTTTTGTGTATTGCACCAGTGCTGCTTCCTTAAATGGAGGAATTTCTCTTAGTCTCCTTCTCTACAAGTAATAACATGATCACATGCTTCTGACATTCTCTTTGTGTGGTATTACAATATCTGCACAATAACTCAAGTCACAAGTGTTCCTGTCTCAGGTTCTCTTGGCAGTGTGAGGAAAGCTTTGGTATGGATTTCTTGTACTGTATGTTTGATGTATCCTGTCTTGATTTTTTTTATCACTTAAAATAACAGACTATCTGTCAAAAATTAGGAAGCTATCACATTGCCGTTGTCTTAACCCTTAAGCCCCTGGTTAGGGTGCTGCTGGCAGTAAACCCCCCCCCCCTTTTCATGGAAATAAATCGAAAAATCAAAACTTCTTCACCCCAAAGAAGTGGCGGGAATAGGCCGACATTCTGGAATGTTACCCGAGACGCGCTGGTTGGACGTTCTGGAACATCACCTGGGGCCTAAGGGTTAATATTTCTCACCTAGTGCATCAGCATTTGTATGAAGAGCAATATATTTGGAAGTATTTTTGTGTCAAAATATGACCCAAAACCATTCAAAGACAGAACCCTTAAAATGTGTCTTTTTGGACTACAGTATCAGCTTTAACTATGCTGGGACAGTTCTGTTTATATTTCCTGATGCCCACCATAGCAAATATCAACTGCAGAAAGAAAGTGTGCTACTTCTTGTTTACACTGCACTGGTACTGTAAAATGCAATTCACGAGGGTTGGTTAAGTACATCTGCACATTAAATGAAAGAAAATGAACAAGAAAATCTGATTTCAGTTATTCTGAAACATTGCTGATTGATACAGTAGTGTACGTATATTTGACCTGAAGCTCTTAATTGAATTATACGGTGATTTTTTATTCTAGAACCCAAAATAATTCCCTTGCACTAAAAACTATATCAGTTAAGAACCTAATGTTTTGCATAAATGTAGTCTAATGGTTTTTACTCAGCCACGTCATGGCGCTCACTGTGGAAGAACGCATGTTTCTCGTCGAACATTACATCAAGAATGCATCCTTTAGGGAATGTCAAATTGCATTTAACAGTTGCTTTGGTGGTCGTATGAAACCTTCAAAATCAGTGATATGAAAACTGGTGAAGAAGTTCAGAGAAACAGGCTGCATGAAAGTTAAAAAACACATGTACCAGCCAAGTGTTGTTACACTGGAGAAAGTGAATAGTTTTTAGTGTGTGGGAATTATTTAGGGTTTTCG